TTTACATTTTACATTTTAGAAATCAAGGGTAATCAAACAAAAAAATATTCAAAACCTTTGCAAATTAAATTACAGCATTCACATGATTTACACACTATCTGCGAAAGATTTAAAAACAACTGTATGGCATGCCTGTAAAAATTACATGTACCTTGTAAACAGTTTCTAACAGTTAGTGTACGTACACAATACCTCTACTGGCCAGGTTCGAATCCACTGAAGTTCACAGCTGTTACTCTTATGCGCACACAAGTTCAAAATCAAACACGGCTCACTAAAATGTCACAGTTTGTCACACTGCACCGAATTTGCTGCATGTTGACCTGTCCATCTCATCATGGTTGAAGGCATCCAGTCCCAACGTGGGCGCCAATGTTGCAGGGGTGGTTTATACTAGATGTAAATAACTCAACTCCTGGCTAAGGGTTCATTATTGTGTTTATTACTGATGTTTATGGAAGTCAATATTATAAACAAAATGGCCCTATAAAATAAAATAATAACAATGAATATCACATGAGATAACAAATGTATATAATATATATTACTTATTTTTACTGATGTACAATAAATAGACTTAACTGTTAAGAGTTATCTTCCTTTACTTTGAATATTTAGCATATACATAAATCACTGTACAAATATTCTTTACACAAATATTTTACTGCCACATTTCAAGAAATGTAACAATATGTAATTATAACTTAAAATATACAAAAGGTAACATATATTCAAATTACCTCTCTATGGGACAAGGCCCATTCCATAAAACATAGTAAATAGCCTGGATGCGTCATACAGGTCTACATATCTAATAACAAATACTGTACACTATACTATACATACTATAATACTCATAATTCAAATAAATTTATACTCTGAGGTAAAATGCTTTAAATTTAGTTTTATTCATATTTAAACTTTCACTCTTCTTTCAAACAGTGATATTAGCTAGATAGAAATATTATAAAGATATAGAACGTTAAACTTTATACTTACTGTCAGATCTGGTCTTAAAGGTCTCAAAGTCTTTGTCTTTGTCTAAAAATTCTCTTGTTACAAAAACCACAACTATCCTGACCAAATTCTCTGAGTAGTCCATCTGAGAACAACTCAGAACCACCAAAACTTAAAACCAATAAAATTACAGAACCCTAATGTCATAACCTTTGAACTCTATCGCTCACCAAGTAAATAAAGGGGTGGATCTGGGTTTTGTATTAAATCATAAAATCTTATTTAATTTCATTTATATCCATAATATTTATTCAAATATTATGTGATATACATTATATACAGTTAAAACACAGTTACACACTGCTACAATTGCAACACTGTCAAAATCAAAAACAGATAAACAGAATTATGTATCTTAATGTAGCATACTTTTGTACCAAGTCTTATTGGAATTGGACAGAAACTGTAGGAGGAGGTGCGTTTGCAGGAATTTCAAAGACATTTCTATATTTAGTAACCATGGCAATACCGCTCCTTGAAATCAACAATTGATATACAGAATTATTTATCGTAGTTTACTTATGTACCTTAGTCCAAATCTATAGGAGGAGTAATATGTTGAAAGAATTTCAAAGAAATTTCTATTTCTAGTAATCAGAGCAACACAGTTTGTCGAAATCAAAAACCAATACACAGAATTATGTATCTTAATGTAGTCTACTTATGCACCAAGTCTTATTGAAATTGGACCAAAACTGTAGGAGGAGTAGCGTATCGAAAGAATTTCAAAGAAATTTCTATTTTTAGTAATCATGGCAACAACGTTTGTCGAAACCAAAAACACATAAAAAGATTAATGTATCTTAATGTAGTCTATTTATGTACCAAGTCTTATTGAAATTGGACTAAAAGTGTAGGAGAAGTAGCGTTTTAAAAGAATTTCAAAGAAATTTCTATTTTTAGTAACCATGGCAACACTGTCGAAATCAAAAACTGATAAAAAGAATCATGTATCTTGATGTTGTCTACTTGTGTACTTAGTCTCATTGAACTTGGACCAAATCTGTAGGAGGGGTAGCTTTTTGAAAAATTGTTTACAGACAGACGGACTACGGACACCTTACCAATGCATAAGCTCTTCTGGTCTCTGACCAATAGAGCTAATAAAATTTGATTTTGACATTCATTATTTTGGGGGGTGAGTGGGTTGTAATTTGTTTCTTTCTTTTTTCTTTTCTTTTTTTAAAAAATTTTTTGCCAACCAATATAATGACAGGGAAATCAACATTAACATACATGTATTAATATAAGGCTGTCGTCGAGTTTTATGTGCTTAATTTCACCTTTTTTTCTTGCACAGATTTTCGACATACCACAAATTTTTGACTTATCTTTAATTTTCACATGTCTAGCATAGGAAATAAAAGTGATTGTTCACACTTCAGCCTTAGGTATCATTCTTCTGGCTTAATTTGCAGTCATGTTTCCCAAACACTCAAATAAATATACCAGGTAGGATTTGTGTCACATATATGAAACATCATTTAGTGATCCAAAACAAGTTGAATGTTTCTTCATTTGTTTTAGTCTACATTATGATGCTTGAATCAATCTGACAAGGTCAGTTCAAAAGTCTATACATACTGCAGCCCCTAATTTTGATGGCTGAATATTTAATTTCACTACAAACCTGTCTACTCCCTAGACTTTTTTATGTAAACTCCTGCGTACAGGAAACGTGCCTCATAGACACATGAAGTCATAAATTACAATGCTTGAACATACAACTTTAAAGACATAATGTTTGGTTTGTCCTTTTTCTCTTTTGTTACCAAATTCTCTGTTGTAATAATCTGGACACCTATGACAGTCCCAATATAACACACAGGGGCTGGGAGGGACAAGATTCATCTAGTATACATAGAGGCTGCTTTAATTCATATCAATTTGACTAACATACTCTTCTGTTCTCTAGGAGAAGATTTCAAGATTTTATCTATGTATATTCCAACATAAAATTTTGAATACCAAGATAGTTAGTTTATTTCTATGCAAAAGGGGGATGTTTGCTTCATTTTTATGGGGAAGAATGCACTGTGCTATATGTGGATTGATTGACTATACGTTTTTTAACATCCCATTTGAGAATTTTTCATTCAAATAGAGACGTCACCTGCTTATGCTGAAGTTGCACAAATTTAGACCTATGCAGGGTGCTTAAAGCTGTACTTCACACCTACCGTGACTCAGGGCCTCGGTTTTGAAGGTCTTACCCGAAAAACTTAAGATTTCTTATTAAAAATTATGAATAAATACAGTTCCACAATGTTTAAGTAACTTTTATTAGAATAAAAATGTTTCAACAATAACACAACTTAAATAATAAAACTTAATAAAGTTCTTTGTGACAAACTAAAACAATGACATTTCCTTACAGTTTTTAGTATGGTAAATGATCATTCTTACTCATTTTCCTCCATTTGTAAAGTCAAATTGTTTACCTCAAAATAATTAAAATCCCATATATATCAACAGCAATACTTCAGAAACAGTTTTAATTATCTTCTTCCATATTTTGCCAAATAACATGCAGTTGTATAGCACAAACCCCAAAATTGGAATACAAAGAAAAAGTTTGTGTATTTAATACGTAGCAAAAATTTTGATATAATGTCAATACTGACTACACAGATTGTGGTAATATTCACTGAATAGGCACATCTGTAGAAATAACATGAATTTCAACAAAGCAGGAGAGATTTTGCATGGAAGTTTTGATAGAATCAGGGCTTTAAAAAGATCAGAAACAGGCGCAACTTTTACAAAAATAGGAGGTATCTTGAGGAAGCAATTTTAATCAAATATGTTATCAAATTTTTCTCCATCAAATATTTTGGCTATGTAAAAGTACTGAGTACCAGCAGATTTTGAAGGCCTGCAGAATAGACTTTTTTTAAAGACTTAAACATTAAAACAACAACTAAAAATTAAGAACAAATATTAAGGTGGTATGGGATACCAAACGAAACTTCTCCTACATATTTATGTACCCATATTAGAAGGATTTGAAATACGCCCACCTTTCAGTATATTAAAGTGTAATTTTAATAATTTTTTTATTATTTTAATGAGAAATACAAAAACGATTTTTTTTTCTTGCATAATTCCTTTTCATAAGCTTAATATAAAATAATTATAGGCAGGCGTTTGCTAATATAAAGTGTTTATAAAAACAAAAATGACAAGAAATATGTCTTAGTATTTTTTTAATTTTCAACAAAAAATAACCGTAAAAAACTGGGAAAACTTTATTTCTTGAAAACAGACGGATAACATTTCATGAAAGTCTACAATAAGAATTTATCTTAATATGTTAGCAAAGTGAAATAAACAAATTGAAAATATATATATAAATGGAAAATATAAAATGCATTTAAAATTTTTTGAATTAAAAGATCCGAGCGGAAGAGTTATCCTTCTTTATTTTCCAAGGGTTGAAAAAACCTGGGTGCTATTTTAGAAATGATGAGCATTTTTTTCCCAACCATAAAAAAATCGCACTTTGTAGTTTTCAACTTTGAACGGTTTTGAAAACAATGCATGGACAATCGCTTTCCAGGACGTGTCTTGTTCAGAGCAATTGCATTCATCTGAACGTTTTGGGACTATATACAACAGCTAGCTGTTTTGTGACCAAACAGTTACTTCTTGAATTAAATAACAAAAAAGTACAGCTCTGGTTAACGTGATAATTGATTGGTGATAATTCAGCACAATGTGAAGTAATTGCACTTATCCATGCCTCACCGCACACAAGGTGCTGTACAGTTACTCAAACAATTGAAATACAGCTTTTGCTTAAAAGTGTTCAAAAGCAGCAATGTTGAAACTACCTTTTACAGGGGTTTGCTTTTTTAAATGTCCGTTGTACAATTATAAGTAAATTTATATACTTGCGATTTTTTTGTCTGTTTTTACTTAAAATGCCGACTTGTGAGAACTTGCATTGAAATAGGCTTCAGAGTGTTCTTTTCAACGGTGTATCTACAAATTTTGACCCGATAATAAGCACTCATGCAAATCAAAACAATACTTCAAACGGAAATACGTCATAACGTAGAGGTATCCCATACTACCTTAAATGTGCTTTAATCAATACATGGCCAAACCTGGGGGAAAATGATGAACAAAGTTGGCGTGACAAAAAAAACTGAGAGAGCTAACTGGGAAATAAGTAACAATGACCGCTCAAGGGAAAAGTGCCTTGTACACACATGTATATACAAAAGTGATCAGTTACAAATAGAAGATGTGCTTATATAAACTCCATAATCAGTGTGTTTTTAATAACAAGTGTGAAAAATAAATATGGTATATATTTGTACACTTAGGGGGGATGTCTGGCAGATTAAAATGACAAGCCCTGCATACGTAAACAGTAATGACATAATGAGAGCATATGAGATGTAAACATACAGGTCAAATGACGTTTGAGTTATTGAAAATTATGATAAATTGTATTATATCATATACAAGTCTCATTATACAATACTTCTAATTTTTTAACCTGAGGTGTTTCTGACTGATTACAAAACCCTCTGATAAGCCCTCATGTAAACATGATTATGCTTTTATGGCAGTGTAGATGATGATCTCTGCCTAATGCACAGTACTGTGTAATTTAATTATTTACAGTTTATAAGTATCACATTTTCCCCAATTTTATATTCCTGCTAATTTTCCTAGAGATCAATTTTTGCTTAATGTATATCAAAGTAGAAAACATCAAAATGAAGCTTATAAGCTATGGGTCAAATGAATTTACTCTAAGCTTCACTTGACAGGAATGAAAACCTACAGTGGTATAAAACCCATCCTTTTCTTACCAAAAAAAAAACCTACATGAGAGACCCATAGGCCAAAATGCTCACTTCAGTCACTTTGGCCCTCCTTTGAACAAACTTGAATCTACACTTTCCAAGGATGCTAGTACATTATGACCATGTTGTATTTTATTGTTGTTAAAGTTTTTTCTAAAGATATTTTTCTTTGGATGACTCTGCTCAGTGCAGTTCTTATCAGCTACTGACAGTGATGGAAATAAGTAAAGCTGAAACGAATACCAAAAAATCAATATTCAATTATTCCAGATTACTATTCTATTCGTATTTGAATATTCGTCAATGTTATATTTAAAGTATACCTTTCTGAAATGTTATAATACCTATACCATTTGCAGACCACAGAAATTTTGTATATGTATATAATAATATAATTTATAACAATATAGTTACTCGACGTTAAACTGCCTATTGTTTAAGCCTTTCCTCAAAACAATGGAAAATGGACAATATTTTTTCGGTGGCGTGGATCTCACCCTTTTACAGTATAGACCTTATTTTATCATGGAAGGTTAGAACTTTGCCCAAAAATGGTCAGAAAATGTGTAAATTTACATACTAAAATAGGAAACTATCTTTACATGCTAAAATTTATAAAATTCTATGCATGAAAATAAGTAAAGTCATCACAGCTTGATAGTAAGAATGACATATGCTGTAGACAAAGTTGTACCGGTAAGTGCAAAAGTCCAGAAGGCTATTTCATAAGTTTTTTTCTTTTATGGTAGTTCTTAGGATTTTTTATTAAGACACCCATCCTATTTTTGCATCCTATTTTTGCCATTTTTTAATTATCTCCCCTTTCAAGAGGGCATGACCCTTTCTTTGAACAAACTTGAATCCCCTTCACTCAAGGACTTTTGTTGTGTTTGAAACTGGCCAAGTGGTTCTGGAGAAGAAAGTTGAAAATGTGACAAGTTTACAAACAGACAGACAAAATGTCAGCAGAATAGCTCAACTGAGCTATGAGCTCAAATGAGGTAAAAAAAAAAAAGTACATATTATTTTTGGCAAAATATGGTACTTGATGCAAGAAAATGATTAGGCCAAAGAAAAAAATATGTGTGGTTCCGGTTACACCTCCAAAAAATTAGGGTAGGTAGGTAGGGATTTTTTCTTTTTTTTTTTTTTTTTTTTAATAATTTTCTTAATTTTTCTAAATAATACCTATCACTGCTTTGCAAGTGGCATTTAGATGTGGTGTGATAATATACTAGTCAATATTGGTAGGGGACACCTACATGCTAGCTTGCTTTGGATTTAACACTATTAAACACTTGCACTATGTTTTGCAAGGAGGCCGTCATTGCTGAAACTAAAACTTAAGCCGGAGCTATTGATGGAAATCGGGGAAAATTCCGGAAAATATATGAAAATTGCCAAAAAAAAGTTTAGGGTAGGGGGTATAAAATAGGGACGGTCGGGTAACCGGAACCACATATATTTTTTTATTTGGCCTTAAAACATACAATACCACCAACTTCATGCATTCTTTGAATTTTCTGTTCAGCATTCATGGTTTTAAAACAGAAACAAAACATTAAGTACAGGTATACAAAATTTCTAAACAAAAGGTTGAACTTATGAAAATAACCATGCAACCTATCTGCACTTATGTTTCTCTTGATGATCATCTTGTGTAGTACAGACCACAGTGCTGGGTATTGAGCTGGATTTTCCAGATTTTATCTCTCCATCCATAGAATCAGAAGGCAGCTGTGAGGCAGTAAGACCCGGGTCACCATCAAAGGGGCTACTAACTGAAGCAATAAGTCCCAAGTCACTATTAGAGGGGCTACTAACTGTTGCAGTAAGACCCAGGTCACCATCAAAGGGGCTACTAACTGAAGCAATAAGTCCAAGGTCACTATTAGAGGGGCTACTAACTGCTGCAATAAGACCCGGGTCACTTTCAGAGGGGCTACTAACTGCTGCAATAAGACCCGAATCACTTTCAGAGGGGCTACTAACTGCTGCAATAAGACCCGAGTCACTTTCAGAGGGGCTACTAACTGTTGCAATAAGACCCCGGTCACTATCAAAGGGGCTACTAACTGCTGCAATAAGACCCAAGTCACTTTGAGAGGGGCTACTAACTGATGCAATGAGACCCGAGTCACTATTAAAAGGGCTACTAACTGATGCAATAAGACCCGAGTCACTATTCATGGGGCTACTAACTGTAGCAGTAAGACTGGGGTCACTATCAAAGGGGCTACTAACTGTCTGTATCTCTACTCTGACTGTTCCTTCAGCCCTGTGTTGATCATTTAGTAATGAACAGGTGTGAAGATCTGTAAACCCCTCATCTGTTAGATTCTTGGACTGATCAATGGACTGATTAGAGTCATTTGTGGTCACTGAGTTATCTTCTACCATCGCAACATCATTAGGCATCTCACTATCCTCCCTCCTGAGTCCTGTCAGTTTTTCTATGGTGGATTTCTTTCTGTGAGTGTTTAATCTGGGTTTAGGCTGTAATATATTATTGATTTGTAGATTTCAAATTGCAATAAAAAATAAAACCAACTAAAAAACAAGAAGATAAGAGTAGTAAAGTATTTTGCAAATTATTACCTTTGCACTTTGATAAGATGGGTCATGGGTTTTCCTGTGTTGATTCAATTTTTGCTGAAAAATATTATTCAAGATTATACATGTATATCAATACAAGAGGCCAAGGGGCTTTAACAGTCACCTGAGTATAATACAATCTTGTAAAGGATCCATGGATTAGTAAATAATTTTATAATACAAAATAAACTGAAAGAAAAAGGATGATCAGGGATCAACAAAAAAAATTTAGAAGAGGCACCCTTGCTCATCACAGGTATGCACTTAGTTAGTCTGCTTAGTACCCAGGAGCAGAGAAAATTTTAAAAGAGTGAATGCATTTCTATAGACCCTATGCTAACTCAAGAACCCGACCATGTGATGGACACATAGTTCTTCCTAAATGTTGCACAAAAATTGCATCGGTACAAGCAATAAACAAAGTTATTGTGAATGCTTTATTATAATTTCAATTAATAGTACTCTGATGTATGTATAAAGTGCTGAGGGCAAGTCCAAATAAATATTTTATGAGAACTTACCAACACACAAAGATATTTTTCACTCTTTTTTGCAATTAATACAAAATAGGCTACGTTACATACAATACCAAGCAAGATTCACTTAAAGAACAACTTCTCTTAAAGACTCACACAGAATATCTTCAATTTACCCTTATTAATCACTTGTGACAGTCTTATACACACGATTTATAAATTTTAATTCTGTCTACGGATCGAGGTTTAACGGGTAGCATTTCACATTCTACTTTTTTGTCATTGTTTGAATGCACACATTGAAACATAAAGTCAATCCAGACACCTGAATTCAACATGAACTACCGATATTTCTACATATCATATGAAAGAAATGTAAAAGTTATGACACTTTCCCTGTCATTTCAGCTCAAGTTTGCAATGACAACATGTCATATGCTATTATGACCTCATATCTAGGTAGTTCAGAGAAGTTACTACAGCTGGTACACTGATATTTTACAGACAGCCTTATCACAGCCTCAAGGTCACCTAGGTGACCTAATGACAGACAAAACAGACAGCAATAAGTCAGACAGGTGACCTAAAATATGGATCTCCTTTCATTTTTTGTTTAAGTATACATGAAAACTTGTCATAAGTCTAAAATTAGAGCAGAAATCAGAGCCAACTTTTCATCTCAAACCCAGAGGAGATCATAGGTCAGAGTTCAAGAGGTCACAAGATCCACCAAGAGAACCTTGGCTTCACAGGTCACTCTATCACTCACAACACAAGGTTGCCATGACAATCTCTAGATCTCTGAGAATGGATTGTGGAATTTTCATCATTTTTCTGAACAGTGATTCACAAAGATGTCCTCATTATTACTGTTTGTCTTCATTAATTATCTGTACTATCCTTACCCATTCTCACATAACAAACAAACATGTATCATCAAATCACCTTTGCAGAAAACTGTTTCTGACACTGGTCACAAGTAAATGTCAGCCCATCATGGAAGGAGCGAATGTGACTGGTGAGATTTTTCTTATCCAGATATGACCTTTGGCATCCATCACGGGGACAGATAAATAGGGGTCGCTCTGATGAATGAATCCTCATGTGTCGATGGTAACGGTAAGACTTGGTGAATGTAAGTCCACAATCCTTACATGTAAAAACTGAAACATTTGTTTGACAAATTCAGTCATTCTTTTTAAATTTCTCAATTATATCTAGATATATTGTTGACAATGACAGATTACACTGCAAAGGACTTTCAAAAATCTCCTTTAAACAAAACCTAAACAGTCTTATTTCAGCAGAAATCAGAGCCAACTTTTCATCTCAAACCCAGAGGAGATCATAGGTCAGAGTTCAAAAGGTCACATGATCCACCGAGAGAACCTTGGCTTCACAGATCACTCTATCACTCACAACACAAGGTTGCCATGACAACCTCTAGATCTCTGAGAATGGATTGTGGAATTTTCATCATTTCTCTGCTGAATTTGAAAGTTACTATAATTAATGCAAGAAAATAGCTCATTCTAGTCAACAATTTGTACCCAGAGAGTGTTTAACCTACTTTTACCATGCTGGTGCAGCTTGTGTTTCTGTAAGAGTGTCCATGTTTTAAAAACTTCATTGCATCCCTCCACATCACATGAATATCCTGAAATTAATTTTGAAAATGAATAGATAGATAGGTGTATAGGTAAGATTATATTACATATGTATATATAAGTAAGATTATATAATGAATCCTTCCACCCAACCAACATTGTACAAAGTTGATAATTTTCCCTTGCAGGTATTGCTCTCACTTTATTTACTTTATTTTAATACATTGTACCAGATTGACCTTTCTAAGACTCCTGATTAGAAATTTGCCCCAAGTTTGGTGAAATAAAATGTACATTTCCATTCAAAATATTGTCAAATTCATGATGTTTCTGATTGTTTGCCTGTAAAAAAAAATAATACGGTAGACAGGGAAAGGAAAGTATTTTCTAACGGTGAGTTAAGCCTGATTAGCAGTAGTTCTACATGCATTCTTATGGTATCAATGTTAAACATTACTGATCATTTACTAAATGACACTTATTTTACTGTTCAGCCTGTAAATACATTTGCTTCAAATAAATATTGTAATACTTTTCAAGAGTAATGCTTTTTAATTAATTGAAATTAATATACTTATGGTTGTCACTTGTGTGATTTAGTAAAATCCTTTATAGAAAATGCCTTGAAATGGCAGGTAATGAAATTGTTAGGTGTGATTAAAACTTATGTCTTGAAAATGAAATGTTCTTAGCATATCCTAAGAATATCAAAAAATTGAAATAATTATCATCATTGCTCACATTCTTTGCCCAAAATTTTTAATTATGTGTACCATATATATATAAAGTAACAGCTTTTTGCATGTAGGTTCTAACTGTTATTAAATCAACAGAGGAGCATAGACAAGACAGTAAAAAATTAACAAGATAACGATTAATAATAATTTTACATTGTTTTCAGAAAAGTAAAGCACAAATATAATCTTATTCAAAAAAAATAAACAATTACAGCATTTATTTATCTTTAAAATTCTGAATCAATAATACCAAAAATTTGCGCTTCTTCCAATATGAATGATTCATATGTATAATCATAAAGTATATGACTTGGGGATAAACATTGGTCTCACCCTTTTTTTACAAACCACCCTAAAGATTATTTCATTAATGGGCTATCTAAATTTGACCCCCTTTGCTCCTTTGACTGCATCAACTAATTCTCTGAAAGTCACAGTTACAAACATTTATCTGACAGACTAAGCACAGAATCAATATTTTATTTTACTTTGTTTTAAAACAGTCTCAACAATTCTGAAATTCAAATTTTGCTAGTTCTCTCATGATTGGCATTCTGATAAACTATGAAAATTCCAGTGTCCCAACATTACCATTTCACACTAATGAAACAAAGCCAGAAGTGATGAGAGTGTAGCTCTACTGTTTTCAACTTGTTACGATCTATAAAAATAGACTTACAAAATCACTTTCACAGAGTTGTTTACATACATGTACATGTTGACTTAAGCTCTAGTTTTGTTCATTCAAAACCACATCCTGAGGAGTGATAACATTTTGGAAGAATCTTAACAGAATATTCTATTTTAGTAACCATGGTAACCTTGAAATGATGAGTCCTCATTTATTCAGTGTACCAAATTTTATTAAAATCAGGTCAACACTGTTTGAGAGGGTAATTTTGAGAGAATTGCAATGATAACTCTGTTAATTGACTTAAAAATTGTTATACAGATATATATACAGTCGTGCAGTCTTCTTGTCGAGCAAATTTTAACTGTAATCCGATCAAAACTGTGTGTTTGATATCACTTCATAGCAGAAATGTGATTCTTAATGTTAAAACTGACCTACATGTACTAGGCTATCATATTACAACAATTTTCATCTTCAAGTTACACACATTTCATTCAATCACAGTAAAGACAAACCTTCATGGACTTTGCTGTGTCTTTTCAACACATTTCGAAAACGGAAGCTCATTCCACAACCCTCCACTGGGCACCTGTTATCAGACAAATCGAATGGTCACTAAAACATTCTTTGCATCAACTATTTCACTTTTTGCATATATACATATTTAATAAAAATTGGAGAATTTTTATCAAGTAAAAATGAGACAGCATAAAAATTTTAATTGTTCTAGTGTAGACTTCTACAACAAAGAGTTATTGAAATTCAATGGACCAACACATTTTTTTTTTAGTATATAAACAAAGTTCAAAATAGGCAAAATCGAAAACACGTAGACAAAAACAAACCAATTATACACAGTTAAATTCATGACACTTGAGTAGTGGAAATGAAATAATTTATTAGTTCATTAAAGATTTATTTGAAAAAAAAAGTCTGACATTTTTCAACCTTGGTATAACTTTCCAATCCTATTCACCATTGGTAAAGGGAAAAGGGGCCAGACACACATAGACTCGGAGGCTTCAAAAACAGTGGCGGGCTGCTTGTACATGCATATATCATTGCTAGTGTGTGCTTCGATTTATCCCAAAGCCCTTTGCTATTAGATTTCACATTTTTATCTTCCATCAGCCATTTTTGCAACTGATGAAATTTTCTATATCAAAACACAAACATAACGGTTTGTGGTGAGAAATATTTGGAGTAGAAGAAGGTTGCAAAACTCCTGGATATTCCTTGCACACGAATAAAGGGTGATTTACAGTAACCGCTGCTTTATTGGGAAGATATTGAGAAACTGAGATGGGGATTCAGTTTTACTTCAATATAAACGATATTTCAAAATAAACGATTTTAATATAAGTGGAGTAGGCTGTGCATTCTTACTTGAATTCTCAAAAGAACTTCTCATATTTTAAGATTTGTTTTACATGCAATGTAAAAACAGATCAAAATAGTTATAAGTAAAACAATAAACATAGACTCACACAAATGGATTGATTTGAGTGTGCTCAAACTCATGGACCTTCAGTTGATTGTGCTTTTGAAATGCCTTTCCACATCCAGAATACAAACACTGAAAATAAAAGACATTGTCTCATGATTTTATCAAACAACACAATAAAAGGACAAAACTTAAGTTAAAAAAAATCTATATTTAAATCAAAACGTTACAAGATCATACACATGTACATACACACCTTGTATGGTCTCAATTTGTGAATCCTCGCAATGTGTTTCTTGAGTGCTGTGCTTGAATAAAAATACTGGCCACAATCAACCTCTTCACATCTACAGAAAAATAAACATCCCTCTTCAAATCAACAGAAGTATAATTAAATCAAACAAGAGGCCTAACATCCTAAATGCTCATCTGCTCCCCTTAACTCACTGAAACATACCCTTACAGTAGTATACATGTATCTCAAAATTTTGACTCAACCCCACCCCCCTCCCCCCAAATAGTGATGGATCTTTGATCAAACATCACAAGTTTGTCAAACAATTCCAAGTCTATTTCAACTAAAAATTGATTTCTAATCAGTACATGGAGTTAGTTATTAATTGCAGGATGATGTACCCTTTTGCCTGCATCATCTGCCAGTTAAAACACCAAAACATGGACAACAGATTTAATACAAGTGCAGGGCTATAATCAGTCAAAAATTCAAGTTGACCAGCCTATCCTAGAACAATTCAAAATGGCAATAATGTGTAAATTATTGAGAGCAATGAGAGGAGGTTTTCTTACGATAAGGAAAAAATATGATATCAAGGGACTGATTTTATTGAAGCCATACAAAGTCCACAATTTTTAGACAAGTAAACAAATCAAAAGAAAAAAAGGAGCTGAAATTAGAAGTACTGTGAGCAATGAGCTCAAAAAATGATACAACCCCCATTCCCATGTGAGTTTAATGGCAAAGTCCATGTTTTGCTATATGTGAAACCCCAAATATCTGTCCAATCAAAATGTAAAATAGGAGGTGCACAATGGCACTATGTAATTAAGATTCCGTGAAAGTCTCATTAAATTCTAATCAGTGGTATAGGAGGACTTCCAGATAAGAGATGGGTACTACCAAGTGTTAGGGATGGACAGAAGGATGGATGGAAGGATGGATGGACACCCAATCACTAAACAAGAGGCCCATGGGCCACAACGCTCACCTGAGAAACTCTGGCCATGCTGTTTTTCTTCTGATCCCCCTTGTAGTACTTATTGTGGCCCCGCCCTACCCCCAGGGGTCATGATTTGAAAAATTAGAATCTACACTACCCCAGGATGCTTCCACATAAGTTTCAGCTTTTCTGGCCCAGTGGTTCTGGAGAAGAAGATTTTTAAAGATTTTTTTCTGCATATTTCAATGTAAAACTTGGATTCCCTATTGTGGCCCCGCCCTACCCCCGGGGGTCATGATTTGAATAATGTAGAATCTACACAACCCCAGGATGCTTCCACATAAGTTTAAGCTTTTCTGGCCCAGTGGTTCTGGAGAAAAAGATTTTTAAAGATTTTTACTACATATTTCAATGTAAAACTTGGATTCCCTATTGTGGCCCCACCCTACCCCCGGGGGTCATGATTTAAATAATTTAGAATCTACACTACCCCAGGATGCTTCCACATAAGTTTCAGCTTTTCTAGCCCAGTGGTTCTGGAGAAGAAAATTTTTAAAGATTTTTACTACATGTTTCAATGTAGAACTTGGATTCCCTATTGTGGCCCCCCCTACCCCCCCCCCCCCCCCCCCCCCCGGGTCATGATTAGAACAATTTAGAATCTACACTACCCCAGGATGCTTCCACATAAGTTTCAGCTTTTCTGGCCCAGTGGTTCTGGAGAAGAAAATTTTTAAAGATTTTTACTACATGTTTCAATGTAGAACTTGGATTCCCTATTGTGGCCCCCCCTACCCCCCCCCCCCCCCCCCCGGGTCATGATTAGAACAATTTAGAATCTACACTACCCCAGGATGCTTCCACATCAGTTTCAGCTTTTCTGGCCCAGTGGTTCTTCAGAAGAAGATTTTTAAAGATTTTTACTACATATTTCAATGTAAATCTTGGATTCCCTATTGTGGCCCCACCCTAATCCTGGGGGTCATGATTTAAATAATTTAGAATTTACACTACCCCAGGATGCTTCCACATAAGTTTCAGCTTTTCTGGCCCAGTGGTTCTTCAGAAGAAGATTTTTTAATGACCCCACCCATATTTTGTCTGTTCTAGATTATCTCCCCTTTGAAGGGGACTTGGCCCTTCATTTTAATAATTTAAACTCCCCTTCACCTAAGGATGCTTTGTACCAAGTTTGGTTAAAATTGGCCCCGTGGTTCTTGAGAAGAAGTTGAAAATGTGAAAAGTTTACAGACGGACGGACAGACAGATGGACGGACGGACGACGGACAATGGGTGATCAGAAAAGCTCACTTGAGCTTTCAGCTCAGGTGAGCTAATAAAAAGCAAACCTTAAAAAGTTTTCTTTATTCCTGAATTCTTAGGAAAGTCAAGTGGGATAGACTGACTGACATACAGAGAAACAATCTATATTCCCCATCCAGTTTCAGCAATAGGGGGATAATATAAGTCCCTGTTTACAGTACTTTATTATTCTTTGTAATGTATAGATCTATAAGTTCCTGTTTACAGGACTTTTTTATTCTTTTTAATGTATCTATTAACCTACCTGACTTTGGTTTCCTTTTTCTGGTGACATTTTTCAATATGTCTCTTCAAATGTGATGCACGAGCATATTGTTTCATGCAGTCTTCTTCTTCACATAAAAATGGCCTCTGTTATAAATTTAAAACATGATGAAGGTTGTTACACATTTTTACTGCTTTTAATTTTCTATTTACACTGCATTAAAATGCAAGTAATTCTGAATAACTGAAATTAGATAAAAACAGGAGGCCCATGGGACACAATGCTCACCTGAGTCATCTTGTCCCTACATTTCTAAGAAGATTTCTTTCCCTCTTTATTTCCAATAGAATTTTTGACCCATATTGTGGACCCACCCTAGTCTCAATGAAATATGATTTAATTAAAACTAAAAATATGGAAATGCTTCAATATCATGATATACATGGCCTTGTTGTATGAAAAGATCATGCAAAACTGACTACACGTGAAAACAAATAGCAATGGCAGCTAAGGAAATCAGAGCCAACTTTTCATCTCAAACCCAGAGGAGATCATAGGTCAGAGTTCAAGAGGTCACAAGATCCACCAAGAGAACCTTGGCTTCACAGATCACTCAATCATTCACAACACAAGGTTGCCATGACAACCTCTGGGTCTCTGAGAATGGATTGTGGAATTTTCATCATCTTTCTCCTCATTTGTATTTCTAAAAAATAAAGCTTTTCTGCATAATTTATTCTGTCAAACTATAATCATAGGTACAAGTTGATCTATGCTTGACTGCATGATAGTTTTCCTAAGTTTTCCTAAGTGATTTAGATCCAGTTTATGCTATTATTTTCATTTATGCAATAAAACCTTGTCCTTAAGAGGCACGTATACCCCCTCCCAACCTCCCAATGAATTTCTGAGTTACACTTGTTCAGTAAGATACCTGACTTCATTTAATTATGTGATGAAAGAATTTTAAAAAGAATTGTATATTTCCGACTATTACTTGGCTAGATAGACTGTTCCCTCGTTAAAATGATGTCCAACGGACCCGACACAGATTATTCTAACTATTAATTGGCCTATAATTTAGGAAGTTTAGGATAGAATGGTCTAATAACTTTTCTGGTAAATATGCCAGGTGTCCTATAGTTACTTACTTCAATCTGAAACCCTGAGCACAACACATGAGTGTCTTTAAGAAACAGCCTATTTTGATAAAATAGGAATGAAAACAGTGTAGGTTTTCTTAAGAAGTACACATTAGGTATATTATACAATTATGGACTTCAGTGCAGGTCGATATGTGGTTATAAGGACCCATGTCAATTTATATCGACCTCAGACACAGAAAGTGATAGCGACCAAGCTTGTGAGATCGCGATCATTTTCTGTGTCTGCAGTCAATATCACCTGATATGGGTCCTTATAACCACATATTGACCGTTCACTTAAAGGACATATCGCATGTTTCTAAATTATTTGAAATTAAAAGCGTATTGCGTTCCTTATGACCACAATTTATAAATTCTGTGTTTTTACTGTGGATAAATCGCGCTAATTAACCAATTATTGACTTAAATGAAAACCCCTGAATTAAAAATCTAAGTTAATTAGATAGCGATCACGTGACCCTGTGACGTCAAAGGCGACAATGGCTGATCAGCTCTTCAATAATCTTGCTAAAATAAGCGCGATACAACCTGAATTTTCTGCATTGTGGACGACCAAATCACTTATTTTATCGATATAAAATTAAATATTCAACCTTATATGTTAGAATTGTCAGCAAGAAAAAATCTGAAAAGTCTGTTAACATTGTAAAAATAGCAGCGACGATAGCGAGGGAGACGCAGCGAAGACGAAAAAACTTGCCATAACAATGCAATTTGATTTGTCACCTTATCACATGTATTAACTTATTTTATTCACAAATTAAACATCATATAACTTTGTTATTCTTTGTTTTGAATACAATATTAATTTATGCAAGTCTTCATATGTTTTTTAAAGGATGGCGATCTTGAAAAATAATTTCCCGATCACGAAACATTGCCCTAATTAGAGCTACAGGTTCTAAATGCTTTGAAATAAAAAACGAAAATATCTTAAAAGCCCAATACCTTAGAACTAATTAATGTTTCTATAGTAATTGAAAAGTATATAAGGAATTATTTTTTTAAGCAATTTTCGTAATATAGCTACATTTGTCATCGATAACTCTGTTAATAGTGTGCATATCCTCATCTCTCTACCACCGAATTGTCGCCTATGACGTCAGAGCAGTATTTTGCCGAAATCCGACTGAAATATGCACATTGCCGTATTTGAATTTCAGCTCTCAATATCTCTTAAAATATGCTTTCAACAACGTTTATTGTATGCAGTATTTTAATAAATAAGGTTATAGATAATATTTTTCATAAAATTACGATTTTTGAAAGATCATGCGATAAGTCCTTTAAGTCCATAATAGATATTATACAATTATGGACTTATGTGGTTATAAGGACCCATGTCAAGTAATATTGACCGAAGACACAGAAAGTGATAGCGACCGAGCTTGCGACTCTAATCTGAGTCCTAACTGAATAGACTTGGCTGTCATTACATCACAATGGTAAAGACATGTTTCCTTTATTATGACATTACGTTCTATGTAACTTCAGTGCAGCCAAACGGTGAGTCGTGCAATATCATATTCCGCGGACACGCTTTTGTGTCAATATTACAAATGGACGAATATCACGTGACATCCTTTCAGCCAATGAAAATTATGAAAATAATCTTCTTATATAATATATAATATAATCACTCAAAAATGAATAATCTGACTCATATCAGCCCTATCTGAACAGACTTGGCTGTCATTATGTCACAATTGTAAAGACCATGCCTCTTATATTATGACTTCATGTTCTACGTTACTTTGGTGGACCTAAATGGTGAGTCAAGCGATATTATATTCCGCGGACATGCTTTCGCGTCAATATCACAAAAGGATGAATATCTTGTGACGTCCTTTCAGCCAATGAAGATTCCAAAATAATTGTCTTACGTAATAGTGAGGGCAGCGAGCTGCGCGAAGCACCGCTCGTCACTGCGAGCTCTTAAAGCAACGCCTGGGCGAAGAGAAAATTCGGACTTTGCACATTGATCCAAATGAATTTTTTTCCGCAGTTACCTGTGATCCCATAATGCTTAGCGAATTGCAGCTTGTTGCAAATTACATTCTCATGGTAGCAACAAAAATTCCACAAAAAGTAAAATCAACTTGATTTAATGGATATATATAGCAGATAAATAGTAGATTAAACATTCTTGATTAAAATTAGCACTGATCAGACTCCGTTTTGGTAATACATACGACATCACATGATGTCAGAGTCTAGACGTAGTAAATATCACGTGTGGTTTGACGAGCCCGTTCAAATTAAAACGGAAAGGTATCTGCACTCGTCCTAACGGGTGCACCGTCAACATATTATTTTTCTCTCAACACTCATCTTCGCTAGCCAAAGGTTTCTGATATGCTACTCTCCTCATAAACCCTTGGCATACGGTGCTGACAAAAGACGGGATTGTTTTCGTCACGTGATCACGATTCTTACCAGGTTTGCACAGATTGCGTCATCGACAGAAATAAAAAGCGTATTTAAAAACATAATGTTTTTAAAGAATAATTACTAAGAAGGTATTGAGTTATGTTATTTTGTAATTTAAACATGTTAAAATGCAAATCTACATCTTCAGTATAGATTCTTAATCACATATTTTGCAAGTAGCATTAGATATTGGATGACACCATATAGCTATTCATAGAATGGCATGTTATCTTACGGATCGTTGTTTACTTGCGTTTTTCATTCCCAATATTAAAGAGTCAAGATATATCCCGAACGCAAATATCGTCATTTACAAAAAAACAATTTCTGATTGGTCGAACGATGTCGATCAACTCCAATCACAACTTGAGAAAAAAATCCCAACTTTTTTTAACACCGTATGCCAAGGGCTTATGAGGAGAGTAGCGTATCAGAAATCCTTGGCTAGCGAAGATGCTCAACACTGGGCATCCTGTGGAAACAAGTCTTTCTGTTGTCAGAAAAGAAAACAATACAAAAAACTTCAGTCTAAAGCGGATATTTACCCAAAGTCCGTTCGGGTCATAACCAGCTTGGGAGATTAGTCCCAACCTGTTCAACTGGGTTTCAACTTTGCCATGCAAATTCTCAAAAATCGTGTCATCTGTAGAGGAAGACGTAAAAATCGTGTTGTTTCCTTGATATATTTATGTATGACTCTTTCTATGGTTAAATTTTTCTAGGTCTAGAGAAAAATCCAGATACTTCTGTGAAACCAAACATGACTGACGTCACCACCTGACCACTGATCTTACTAGGGAACACATTCATGCAACATTTCAGGTCAATTTGGTACCTACCTCCCCAGTGTGTGACCTTAAGTGAATTTTTAATCTGTATGGCCGTCTAAAAGTTTTAGAACAGCCGTCAAAAGAGCAAATATGCAAAGAAGTTGGTCTGGAATCGTCCCCACGTGCACAATCCATTTTGATTTTTAATCCCGAGCCCGATAGAAATACCGGTAAATGAACCCGATTTTATCTCGACCAAAAAATCAGTTTCTTCAAACTTTTTGAACCTTAAAACAATTTTAATTAGGTGTTCGTAGAATTTGGGGTCCTTTCAGGTCTTTAAGGTCACATTATATGCATATGAATAAATATGTATATATATAAATATGTTGATATTCCTTGATCGACTGTTGATTGGTCTTTATCTCAGTTATAATCACATGCGACAGATAAAATTATTGATATCATGTAGCTGCGTAAATTTACCAGGAAGCTACAAACAATAGATGGATAAAAATTTAGATTTATTATGATGGATTGTGATTTATGAGTTATTTAAAAAGTTTCCAACTGAGGAACCACAGAGACAAAGAAGTCGTTTTTATGTAGAATTATCAATGACAATACAATAACAAACAGTGGACTTTGGTAAGTAAGTGTCAGAGGTTTTCATTGTACACAGCATCAAAATAGACGATTTACTGATTCATTCATCATGATTTCATCTTTCTTAAATGGATATCACTTCGATCATCATAATTCTATACTCTTAATTTATTATAAATGCAAAACTTTCGCTATAAACTTCGGTTTGTGTTAAATGATAAACATTGCCAGATTATATGTGATGAAGATTCAATTTGCACCTAATAAGTCGAAAAATATCATAAAAGGAAGACATGTCCAAAATCATAGGAGCTTTATGTATATATGTGTGGTACGTCTTTTTTAAACGTGGTTTTTCTTGACTGAAAGTGTCAGAATATCTATTTTAACAACTTTTAAGTGTATTTAAAGAAGATTCAAAATTTTTAAAATTTATTTTACATTCAACAATCCCGAAGACAAGCCCCTATGGTCCAAATGGAAAACTTGTTCTTGAGCCGTTACACTAGCATGGATAAAAATCATAATGATCATAATTACTCTCTCTCTCTCTCTCTCTCTCTCTCTCTCTCTGTGACACTTCCAGAGGTGAAGAAAAGTCATGCAAGTCTAGTCGCATACAAAATCGAAACGAAGTAGTAAAGAATGTTACAATCACAGGCCCGTAGGAATCTATTTCAGTCTGGGAGGAAGGGGGGCTTAACCAAACATTTCAGTTTAGACAGGCAATACACAAGGGAAAAAAATCAATTGACAAGCAAAAAAAAAAATATTATTGAGGAGCACATCCATAAAGTAGCTTTATTTTCTAAAGTATACTATACATTTATATAGGCGCAAAATTATGGGGGGGGGGGGGGGCGGTAGCACACCCCCATGCCCTCCCTTGGTTTCTACGGCCATCAACTTTGGATTTCATAGCTAAGTTTTTAAACCAGAGTATTGTAAAGGGTGTTAAGAAAGTTCGTTCCATAATGAAATATTTTGAAAATTTGAAAGTAGTGTTTAACTGCAGAGAGTAATTTTCTTGTCTGACAAAATCACAAGATTGTGTTTTCGATTTACAGCAATTAATTTCTAGCATGAATTTATAGGATTATTTTTTTTTCATATGAAATTATAAAAACATCTTTAAAACACCCAAATGAAAGGACTGCTGGTCATTTTTTGTGAAAATGTAGGATTAACTACTTTTATTTCTTCACAGCTTATCTTGCATCATACAAAACTGATGAGCCTAGGTGAAAGACAATTAAGAAATGAATTCAATTTTTGAAGATTCATGAGGACATGAACTACGACGCTTCACGTCGGCATATTTCATGAAGCGCGTTAGCGCACAAGCCTCAAGTTCTCAAGTTAGCATGTGGCCCATGGGCCTCTTATGTTGGTATTTCGAATAAAAAAAATAATTTCAAGTCTGAAATTCAAGAATTTAATGAAGCATAAATGCTGTTTACAGAGAAAGGTTTTTTAAAAAAGAGCGTTTTGAATCCCCTCCCCATTGGCCTCAAAGATGCCTACATTTCATACATATTTATAAACCTACACCCAAGACTTGTGGTCGAACTGCAGTGTTTCTGATTCTGGATCTGATCCCATATAAATGTATTTTCTTTAAGTCCTGTTTCGAATTATGTTTATAAAATCTAGTCTAGCTTTCCTAGCAGAATGTAACTCAAATATGTAATGTATAAGAAAACTTCTAAGAACATCTTCTAAACAAAGTCTAAATGAAAGATTATTAGTATTAAAATTCTTGTGGTTTTTGCTGTGCAAACTTTCTTCTATACAAGTAAATGCATTTTGTTTTTGGCTTTCTGTCTGTCCATGTTATGTATATTGATTAATACAAAGACTCTATTTTTAGCTTACATATTGTCATTTAAGTCTGACTAAATACTTATTTCCTTTACTGATAGATACCATGGCGACTGGGGAATCTAACACGTCTGATCTGCAGACTCTCCTGCATTATAATCGTCCAAATCGTCCGAGATCGACCCCGCCCACTAACCCATCAAAGGAGGAGTCCACTCTAACACATCAATACAGAGCAGCGTCGGTCATACCCTTTGGTAGCAAGACTGATGACGAAACCACGCCCCTCATGGGTGTCATCAGGTGAGCTAAAGGAAAATATCAGTTTGAAATTTATTTGACAACATATTTTGAATTAAAAGTTATATTTACAGTACTTTCTTTCGTTTGTAAGGGATTTATTGTACAGAGAGGCGTAGCAGTCGAGTCGCGCAGCGATGAGAGTGTCACGCCTCTCTGTACAATAAATTCCTTACAAACGAAAGAAGGTGTCTGTAAATGTCTTGTGTCATGGTCATTTGCATAGTCACTCCTTCAGCACCAATCTGCACGCGACATTACGTCATAGGCCTAGGTCCATCGTAAGTGAACAGGCCCGGTGTTCAAACAAAGCAGAAAGTACGATGGAGATGGTTGCATTGAAAAATCAAGCAATGTTAAACGAGTGTGAAATTGTATTTGATGGATTAATTTAAGCAGTATGAGTATTTCAAAAACCATAACAAATACAGGCACAATACTGGAAACCTGGATCCGCCCGCACTATGACCCGCTACATTACTGTTACTAGGGATACGCTTGCATGTCCCGAGGAAATCCGAGTCAAGTACTGTAGCCACAGGTATCAAAATTATGGAATGTAGTGTGAAATAGTCCAGATACAAGTATATACGAACATGTATCAGTTTGCATGTAACTCAAAGAACTCAGAAAAACAGTTGCTATATTAAGGGAATCATCGAACTGCGCGTTTTCAATATTGTTAGATTTCAGTTATCTGTTTTAATTTGAATACATGTATTTCAAGAAAGTCTGTGTATTTTTAAAATATTTGTTTAAATTAGTTAACTAATGAGTTTACATGTAATCCTCATGAAAATGGTTTTCACGTATGCATTTTCAGATCGAAAGGGGGGGGATATTGTGAGGTTTCTCATTTTTCCTCTGGATAGGTTGTATATGCTTACAGAAATTGAAGAAAAAAAAATTTCAAAAGTATTGAGTTCTTTTGGAAGTTATTGTACAGTACATTGGAAGTTATTGTACGGCTAAGCTCCGCCCCCTAGAAGTTATAGTACGTTGGAATTCAGCCAAAGGTTTTCTATCTGATTTAAAGTATGGCTAACATCAAAAGAAAAAGTACCGCACCATGGCACAATATCACGTTGTGTCATGGTGCGGTACTTTTTCTTTTGAAGTTAGCCATACTTAAAATCAGATAGAAAACCTTTGGCTGAATTCCAACGTACTATAACTTCTAGGGGGCGGAGCTTAGCCGTACAATAACTTCCAATATACTGTACAATAACTTCCAAAAGAACTCAATACTTTTGAAATTTTTTTCTTCAATTTCTGTAAGCATATACAACATATCCAGAGGAAAAATGAGAAACCTCACAAAATTCACCCCCCCCCCTTTCGATCTGAAAATGCATACGTGAAAACCATTTTCATGAGGATTACATGTAAACTCATTAGTTAACTAATTCAAACAAATATTTTAAAAATACACAGACTTTCTTGAAATACATGTATTAAATTAAAACAAGATAACTGAAATCTAACAATATTGAAAACGCGCAGTTCGATGATTCCCTTAATCATGTTAATAGCAACTGTTTTCTGAGTTCTTTGAGTTACATGCAAACTGATACATGTTCGTATATACTTGTATCTGGACTATTTCACACTACATTCCATAATTTTGATACCTGTGGCTACAGTACTTTACTCGGATTTCCTCGGGACATGCAAGCGTATCCCTAGTAACAGTAATGTAGCGGGTCATAGTGCGGGCGGATCCAGAATTGACTCGGATTTCCTCGGGACATGCAAGCGTATCCCAAGTAACAGTAATGTAGCGGGTCATAGTGCGGGCGGATCCAGGTTTCCAGTATTGTGCCTGTATTTGTTATGGTTTTTGAAATACTCATACTGCCTAAATTAATCCATCTAATACAATTTCACACTCGTTTAACATTGCTTGATTTTTCAATGCAACCATCTCCTTCGTACTTTCTGCTTTGTTTGAACACCGGGCCAGCTGGTCACTAGCTCTTAAAAGATGGACCTAGGCTTATGACGTAATGTCGCGTGCAGTTTGGTGCAGAAGGAGTGACTATGCAAATGACCATGACACAAGACATTTACAGACACTTTCTTCCGTTTGTAAGGAATTTATTGTACAGAGAGGCGTGACAGTCTCGTCGCTGCGCGACTCGACTGCCACGCCTCTCTGTACAATAAATCCCTTACAAACGAAAGAAAGTACTGTAAATATAACTTGCAACATATTTTAAATTCAAATATCTCTTGCAACATATTTTAAATTCAAATATCACTTGACAACATATGTAAATTCAAATATCACTTGACAACATACTTTAAAATCAAATATTACTTGATCACATAATTTAAATTCAAAGTTTACTTGACAACATATTTCAAATTCAAAAATAATCCTTTTTTCATTTTATTTACAGAGGAAACAGTGATACATTTGTCCAGCACGAGGAAGAAGAGGATACAGCCATTGACAAGGAGAGTATAAAGGAGTACTTCAGCTTGAGGAACAAATGGACCATACTTAACCACGTCAAGATATTAATTCTGGTCGCCATTGCCTCCACCTGCTGTGTACGTACACAGGAAAAAAAATTTTCTTTAAAATAGTTATTGACACTCCACTATTATACGTATAAATTATATTACGGATATGTTTATTGCTTATTATATTGCTGTAGATTATGATTATGGCGGCAGAAGAATCAGAAAAGACATGGCGTCAGCTGAGTCTTGGAAATGAGGTTAAATGTACGCCATTTTTTACTGTAAAACTTCTACATGAAGCATATTTAATGATTAAACTTAATTTTTAAGTAAATTATGTCGAGCTTTATTTCTTTAAAGATGAAAAATTTGCTGCCAATAATCACCCGGTTAGATTGTTTCTGAAAGGACCTATATCAGAATCAAAAGAGAACAGGACGATCCCTCTTAGTGTTGGAACAGGAAACAAGGTAAAACTGACATATAAATTTATATGGTAAAGAGAAACTTGTAAATTATACAGTTTACAGCTCGATATATTCAAATGATGGAATCATGTTGTTTATCACATGCATGTTGACCTTTATTCAGTGGATAACTTTTTCCAAATGTAAATTGCAGTACTTCGAGACGTCTTGCAAACAAAACAAAAAAAAAATACGTTTGCATTTTTAAATGCAGAAGATAGAGAAAGGATTTCATAAAAAAAAATTAATCAACGAAATAAAAGATATTGATTCCAGGCCAGTAAGAACGTGGGGAGTGTCCCCCAATAATTTGCAAGTATAATTTTTACAATAGCTAAATTACAGTGTGCCTCCTCAAATTTGCCCGGATATGCTGTACAAAAAAAGCCAATATACAGATGCCCTCCCTACAAAAATTATTATTTTTTACTTGTCAAGAATTACTGTTAGGTTACCCCCACCCCCCTTCCCAACTGAAATCGCTTCCTACATGTCTGGTTTCCGAAAGGCATTAAAACATACATGACATTTTAACGGTGTGACGATGTTTACCTCATGCAGTAGATTGGAAAGTGAAAGATCCAGGATAAAAAAAGTAGGTAAAAGCATGTGCTAAAGAGGATCATCAATGTTATGTGATTAAAAACGAATAAATCCAAGGACTGCAGTTGTGTTTTCTTTCCCCATACAACGCTCGGGGAAAGAAAACACAATTCGTTAGATAAAAATTGTATTCAATTAGTAAATATGGTAGATTCCATAAAACAGTCGTTTTTATAGAAACAATGATATTCCCCTAGGACATATAATGTCCTCAATAATATGCCCGGTAGCTTGATATTGGTAAATACGCCATCGGATTCGTAACCAGCACCTAACTTGCTGTAATATACATTGTATATTTATTTGTTATACCTTTAAAAATTAGTTCCTACATAAATCTCTACTAAATAAGTCTTACATTTCTAATGTTTTACTGAGCGGTCATAAAAAATCTATGTTTGACCGCTGAAGGAGAAATTGGACCTGTGGATGAGATATTGGACAGCTTACGTCACACTGTGGGCGGGATCAGCTAAGTCTTATTTGCATTCGTTGGAATGGAAGCCAGTAAAAGATACATGTATAACAAAAAATAAAAATTAAGAATAAATAATAATGATAAATAAAAGGTATGACAAAACATTTATTGACTGTGTTCTCGGGCAAAATGCGTTATCGACCCCTCAAACCAAACTGTTTGCCTTCGGTCTAGCGTTCGGGCAAACAGTTTGGTTCCTGGGTCCGACGAAATGCATGTTACCCTCGGACCCATTCAATAAATGTATAATACTGCATTTTTGACATTATCTATTTTTTTCCATCCAGAGTGAAACATGGATTTTGAAAATTGATACCGCTATGCTGAGCAACGAAGATACTGTAGAACTGGAGCATAAATTTTCAAGCAAGAGCGAGTAATGAGATTTTCCTTATTGTTTATGTTTAGCTATTGCTGTTTTTTCCGCTTTGTTTCGTTTTCTTCATTATCATTTTTTTGGAGGGGGTGGGGGTGTTAGGACTGAAAATCCCAAAAACAAATGTTGTTTCTTCCACCCAAAACAGTCTCTTTGAGTTACCAATATTGGAAAAACTCGATAGGATTCATTTTTAGCTCACTTCCACAAAAGTCGAGGTGAGCTTATGTTATACGCCGTCGTCGGAGTTCCAGGTTAAAGCCCATTCCCAAGTAACTATAAGCTCTGCTAAACTGGTACAGGTGATGCATCTGGGGATGTACCTACTGGATGCTGCATTTGATCTATAATTTCCAGATTAGTGACCAGGTTTATAGTTTGAAGCATGTCCATTCCCACGTAACAATAATCTCTACATAGACCAAACTTGCATGGATGCATCTATAAATGAACATGACCAGAATTGCTTCTAATGCTACATCCGACTTAAAATGTTTTGGATGAGTGATTCTATTGAAGTTTTTAGAGGAGGTCAACTCACAAGAAACTATAAGCCTTTGCAAAATTCAATGGATGATTCAGCTATGGATACAATCTACCTGACTTGCATCTGATGCATTATCGGATCTACATGTTTCGGATGTGTGACTCTCTTGAAGTTTTAGGGGCAGGTCCATTAACAATCTAAGAATGCACACAACCTGACATGCTTTGAATGCTGCACCTGACCAATGTTTTCTGAATGATTGAATACCTAGGGTTAAGTTTTTGCAGCAGGTCCAGGTTACAGTGTATGGATTTTGGGATGTACACTACCCTGATTCAGATGCTGTATTCTACCTTTATTTCCCGAATTTTTCAATAGTTTTGGAGATTTTGGAACAGATCCTTTTCCATGTGACTCTAAGCTACATATACACCAAACTTTCATGGAAGATATATCTAGGGATGTGCTACAAGAGATGCTTTGGATGCTGGATCTATACTAAAGATTCTGGATGAGTGATCAGGGGTTAAGGTTTTTGGAGCAGGTCCATTCCGAGGTTACCATAAACCTTACCTTATCAAACTTGCTTTGAATGCTGCAACTGTCTTTTATTTCGTATATATACTGGACCAAAGTTGATTGTATGACGCAACAGATGCCACCAGATCTAGACTTGCTTCAGTTATTGCAACTCATCTAGTAGGAAAATTGGCCAAACTTTAATTTGCTTCCCAGCAGATCCATTTCCAAGTAATGTTATGTCATAACTTGACCAAACTTGCATCAAGGATGACTAGATTCGTCTAGAGATAAATACTTGTTCAAAATGAAACAAGTGACATGTATTTCTAGCTGTTCAAAGAAGGACTCTAAAAATAATAAACTTACATGAAGCTAAGGGGGTCTTACTGAACATTCATTTGGAATGAGATTTTCTCACTCTAGATAACACTCTTTGAGGTAAGCTTAAATCGATATGTGTGATTACTTGTGTTTATAAATATGCATTAAGTTCTATAATCTTTTTAATGTTTGCATAATAGAACAGAAAACATTTCTTTCGAGCTGACATCGAACCAAAGCGTCCCACTGCTTTGGAGAGGTGAAGAACTACCGACTGAGGAGATTGTCTATGCCGCACTTATCCTTGTGTTTGTTTATGCTATGATTGTTTTTGAGGTATTTCTGATACTTGACAATTTACTTGCTTTATTTAAATCAAACACACAGGAACTTTATATAATTAATTGCCTTGGGTTTTTTCCAGCTTGTACATAGAACATTAGCTGCTATATTGGGATCTCTTGCTGCTATAGCGGTTTTATCTTATTTTCACAAGGTACTGTTTGACCTGTATAACCGTTGGACTTTGAACAACCATTTGCATTATTGTTTGCTTTTATCTAAAATGCATTAGAGTATTATACTTCTTTATCTTTTGCTACTTCATAGCGCCCTGATCTAGCCGCCATTATCGCATGGATCGACATGGAAACTCTTATGCTCCTCTTTGGAATGATGGTCATAGTCTCTATCTTTTCTGAAACGGGTTTCTTTGACTCGTGTGCACTTCAGGTTTCTAGTGATTTTACCACTTTTAAAATTTACAATTTTCTGCTAAGTTATCAGTAGTCGTAGCTTACGAAATACTTTTAGTTGTAATGTGTATTTGTTTGCTTTATGCCATTTTTATTATATATTTACAGGCCTATAAGTTGGCTAAGGGTCAAGTCTGGCCACTGATTACCCTGCTTTGTGTGTTCAGTGCCGTAGTGTCGGCTTTCCTTGATAACGTCACCACAGTTCTTCTACTTACCCCAGTAACGATCAGGTTGGTAATAATGAAATGATGAACACTGCTACTACAAGGAATTTTTTGATATTCTCACACAGAGTTTGATGCTGATTTTCCAGATTGTGTGAAGTTCTGAATTTGGATCCGAAAAATATTTTAATAGCAGAAGTTTTGTTTTCAAACATTGGTGGCACTGCAACAGCCATTGGTGACCCACCAAATGTCATAATTGTATCCAACTCGGATATGAAAGCTAAAGTAGGTAGATGACGTTTCCAGTGAAAAGAAAGGGCACGCTTTTGTATCACTCGCACTCCCTTTCGATGCTCACAAAGAATGGAACAAAAGACGTCTTCCACCTTGATACAATTCTTTTCCTGCTATTTTATCCTCGGTCCTCCCTCTTGAAGTTGCACATATGCATCCTGGTTTGGATATTAATTGCAAAAGATTTAATACTCAACTAATTTAGAGTTTATCTTTTCTAGGATATAGATTTTGCCAATTTTACTCTTCACATGTTTGTTGGCATCATATTTGTCAGTGTTGTGGGATATGGTGCTCTTCGATTCCTTTATCGTGATATCACCAAACTCCAGAATCAAGACCCGCCAGAAATAGCAGGTAACAGCACACTTTTGGCCCTCTATCACCAAATAAATTGCTTTCCATAAAGCCTATTATTGCCAACATTAACACAGATTATTTTTAATCTGTTGTATATAGATTTTGGGAAAGGAATAACATGACTTTGATAAGACGAAACAATTAATATTTTCTACAGAGTTAAAACACGAGATAGACCTGTGGAAGCGTGCTGCTGCACGGGTGTCTGTCGTGTCGAGAGAAGAAAGCATAATGAAGGCATTGTTCCAACAAAAGGCAGCACAAAGAGAGAATGCCCTCATCAGACAAATCTACAGAATGAAGTTAGAAAAACACTGAAATTGCTATAAAATACACTCTTGCAATCTACACTTGCTATATGTATAATGTTGAAGAAACGCTAAATTTTTTCTTGAATATCTTGCAGAAGATCAGAAAAGAAAAGCTTTCAACAAAATGTAAAGGAGCTGGAGAGAAAGGTATGACTATTTAGAGCAATAAATTGTGCAAAACCAACGAGGTTTTAAATTTTTATAATTTTTTAAAAATATGTGTCAGTGGGACCCTCTCGTGGATTTTTTTCCTTTGCAGTACTATATCACTGACCGGTGGCTTTTGGTCAAGACTGGAGTTGTTTTGACTGGGGTCATCCTCTGTTTTTTTCTCCATTCCTTTATTGACAGCATGCACATAGGTCTTGGTAAGTTTTCACTTATTTCCCAATGGTACAGAAACTTCGTTTGTACCTATTTTGGTATTGATCAGTAATTTTTTAATCCACAGGATGGATTGCCGTCATGGGGGCAATATTTCTATTGGTGGTGGCAGATATTAAAGAAATGGAAAATATTCTTCACAGGGTTGAATGGGCCACCCTTATCTTCTTTGCTGCTCTCTTTGTATTGATGGAGGTACAAAAATTAAGTTCTGCAAATTTTAAAGCTGCAATTTGCATGAAGTTACCAATATTTATTTTCTTGAATCTGGATGGTTGCGCCAACGCCATTCTCTCGTTAGTCTTATAACTTTCCCATCTGTATTCTGTTCTCTGTTTAAATGCACAGTTTACCCCCAGACATATAGAAGTCCAAATCAAAAGACCTACACTCTTCCAAGAAACTTTGAATTTAGGTACATTATTACAAAAGGAAATGGAGAGCAATTCAAACGTGGCAAATTTCCATCGTTGTCTAATTTCAGAATGATGACTTTTGTGAATCCTTCAAAATTATAAAGCTAGGGTTTTTTTCAATGCATGTATTTCAAACATTACGCATGTTGAAAAATAATTTACTAGTATTCACTGAAGGTTTTCAGGAGTATGCTCTAATGGCGATTATCATTTTAACCCGAGGCAGGTTACAGACAAATAAGTTGATGTTACAGGAAATTTTACAACCTCGTTTAGTCACCATATCGTAAATTCTGTGGTCTTTATAATGACCTTTTTAGCAAATATAACCTATCAATGGGTCGTATTTTGACTGACATATTTCATACCAAATTGGTAGGCCTTTTTTATACTTTGACTACGGATTACTCCATCTAGCTGATCAATACATAGGGCTCACGGCAAGTGCAACCGGTCGAAAGGGGATGCTTACTCCTCCTAGGCACCTGATCCCACTTCTGGATTTTCAGGGGTCCGTGTTTTATGCCCTGTTCACAATTTTTATTGTTTTTAGGTTTTTTTGAGTTTATCACTGTTCGCTATCTTCACCTATTTCATTTTCTGTGCAGGCGCTGACAGAGTTACAGCTAATCGATTGGATTGGAGACAAAGTCAGTGACCTAATCAGTGGACTTGATAAAGGCACGCAGCAAAACTCAGTTGCTATTCTTCTCGTATTGTGGGTATCAGCTATTGCATCCAGCTTTATAGACAACATCCCATACACCACAGCAATGGTAAATACCCGCCATCTTCAATCAAAATGCTCTTACCGATTCGTATATATATGGTAGATATGTAGTAAAGTAAAGTTTGTAAACATCTTTCATCATATCACTCTCTTACAGACTAGCTCACAATTTATAAATTGTCCATTAAAATAGGACAATATAGTGTCATCAATTTGCCATATTTTAGATTCCTGTTTTGGTCAAATTGAGTGAAGATCAAGATATCCCCCTCTTTCCACTTACTTTTTCCTTGGCATTTGGTGCATGTTTAGGAGGTATGTACTCAGTATTGAAAAAGTTTAGGACATCTGCATAAAATGTTTAAATGGTTCTAAGACACCTGCATGAAGTTTCACAAAGATGCAAAGCCTTTGTAACTTCTTTTATTTCTCCCATCAATGACTTTATGAATTGGTATGGAGAATTTTCCACTTAGAAAATGTACCCCTACAAGCCCAAACCCCTACAAACCCATCTTCAATCTACCAAGAACAAGAATCACCCCAATAACTTACTAGTGTAAATCAGATAAATAAGTGCGCTAAAAAAAAGTGCGATCATCCTCTTCAACTGATTAACACGGTCATAAATTAGCGTGCTTGAGCTTTGACAACGACGTGTATCAGTTTTATTTATATATTAGCGTGTACATAAATTAGCGAACAAGAAGCCGCGCGAAAAGCGCTAAAATATGATTACTGCTAAAATGAATATGTTTACAGTCAATGGGGAACATAAACATAGGTAGTGACTGTTCTTTCATCAAGCGCCCGGCACTAGAAGTGAAAGTCAGGGATCTTTCGGATGAGACATTAAAAAACAAGGTTCCATGTCAGGGTAGGCACTGACACAATAAAGACCCCTCACTGATCAATGGCCTTGAGTGCCGAGTATAGGTCTAAATATGAAGCCCTTTACCGGTATATGGTGACGTCTCTATATGAGTGAAAAATTCTCGCAAGGGACGTACAAAAAACATATTATCAATCAATCTAACATAATGAATGTATTTACAACATATCTCTAATCACTGTCCTTGATCAAGAAATTAGTCCTCATTCCTTCTAAATAATTTATCTATTAGAAAGCTAATATTGAAATCCTTGCCAAACATTTGTCAATTTTGATTTTTATTGCCCTGGACTTCTTGACCCTGAAGTTCATAGATTCATCACAATTCATCTCTGTTGAGACTGAAATGTTAAGTAATACTCTAAAAACATTCAGAACATTCTTATGGACCAAGACATGCATACATTTATGCAAGGAGGCAGAATTTTCTAGGCCTTTTTTTCAATGGATGCATTATTCAAAATTTGTCCAGAAATTTACTACATTTTGTGACTCTCCTCTCATTTACGGCAATTCACCTAAAGCAAGTCAGACTCAGCCAATGTGATGTTAAACAACACGCAATCAATCAATCATTTCCTTCACAGGCAATGGAACCTTGATTGGTGCCTCTGCAAATGTAGTGTGTGCCGGTATTGCGGAACAACATGGCTATGGTTTCAGCTTTAAAGAATTCTTCAAGTATTATATAGTACCATATTTTTTACAGTCATAAACAGTTACGTAGAATTAGTACATGTACATGCCCAATACTCTGTTTATGGTAGAATGTATTGTTATATTTTTATTCTAGGGTGGGATTTCCTTTAATGTTGGTGACTACAACAGTAGCTATGATTTATCTCCTTATATGTCACGTGGCCTTAGATTGGAACTGACATCTAACTGCTCTAGGTTGCACTGCGAAGAAATTTGGACCAACACATTCCAACTTTCAATGAAATTGAAAAAAAATTGCATGTGTGTGATATATTGTATTCTATTGACAAACTATGAAATGCACACGTTCTTTGTCATATTAATGGACCATTTTTCATTTAAGTTAATTATTTAGTATTTCCTTTATTCTTTGTTGATATGTTAATTAATATCTTTTGCATTATATCAGTATGCCGTACTAGACTGTGATAATTTATTGTACACAATGACTAAATACAATCTACTTCCGGTTATTATTTGTACATTTATTACCATGTTGATATTTGAATTAAAATGTTTTTTTCTTACGCATCCTTCTATCGTTCTATATGGTAATACAAAGAATTAAGGGGGGGGGGGGGGCTGTGCTGAGTGGATATTTATACTACAATATTTTGAATATTTATATTGTTCTCTGTTGTTGATGTTTCAAGATTCTTTGGCCAAAATTCTATCTTATATTTGCTATTCAATCTTTAGATTCCAAGCCTTTTCATTCTAAACCTCATCAACAGTTCATACATCATTGGTCCTCTGTAAGGGCATTCACTCAGAGTGCTGTTTTCTTGTATTGACTTTGTTGATGCATCATACATGTCAATGATTTTTGTGGGTGGATGGATTTTGTTTTATCAACAAAAACATGGGGTATATAGTATTTGACACTAATCTTTACTCCACTGCTCTTTGTCATTTTTTTCCATGATGCCTTTCTTGCACTGTTCCTACATTATTTCATTATATTTGTTAAGTAGATCGGGATTCTTTCGTTTTTAAATTAGATATTTCGACCTTCCAAAAGCAGGTTCTCTAGAATTTCAGGCTGTTCATCTTTCCATGACCAAGTGACTTAATATCTGAATTTCTTAATGGTTCTAACGTATCACTAAAGTTTCTCAAGGCTTTGTCATCATCTGTGAAGTGAAACTGGTATTTTATTCCAATTTCTCCAAGTTCCCCATTCTCGTCCAATTCAAGGGCAGACATTTATTAACAAAGGAATGAAGGAAGAATATTCTGTATATAGATTATGTTTTTCCAATTTCCAATTAGCAGGTCTTGTAAATGATCTTTCGATGTATCAATTTTTTTGCATTCTTTCGATAAAGATCCATCCTACCTTTAGTGTCCGTCCTTTAGATAAAGTTTTAAAGAAACATTAGTGGGTTTTTACTGCCTTATGTTCCTTTGCTCCAAATGTGACATTGATATATTGTCTATTCTTTCCTTTTTAAGTTCAGTTTTTATTGTAAATCTTTCTGTAATATATGTTCTCTGAAACCCAGAGTCTATCCGAGGTCGGCCAGTTTCAAAAAGTTTCATTCAGATCTGATGTATCAGTTCTTGCGTTCTGTATTAGAAACATACTCTTGGAGACTGTTAAGTTATTTCGGTAAACTTTCTGGCTATGTAGTTATCCAGTTTTGTAGTCCAATAACTTTCCTTTCTGTACTTCTAGTTGTGATCCGACTTTTTTTGTATTAAACTCCATTCTTATCATGGATACAAAGACGCCCAGATATATCCTGGTTCACGGCCTCTAGGCTGCGCATGTTTTTCTTGTTCATCCTGGAAGTGCCACAGAGTGCAGGCTTAATGTTAATAAGGCTCATGTAATTTTCATTAGATACTGCACAACTTCTATTCGTTCCTTTAATATTGAGATAACATAATTTTTATGGGAGTTTGTGGCCGAAAATAGCGGATTATGCCGTTCCTTCCAATTGACTTATCAAGTAGTTGAACTTCTCAATATTGTAAAGCCTCGAATTTTTATGCACCGAAGACTCAAAGGAGTTCCAGAATTCTTTCCACTTTAATAAGTTGTTAAAGAATCTCTCACGCAAATATGGTACAAGCAATTAAAGGATCATTCTCTATAATGCCTACAATGACTTCAAATTTTCAAATACTATTTTTAGCTCACCTGAACCTAAGGCTCAAGTGAGCTTTTCTGATCGAAATTTGCTCTTAATGTCTGCCGTCGTTGTCGTTGTAGACTTTTCACATTTTCATCTCTTCTCAAAGTATCCATGGGTAAAGGGGATTCAAATTTGTTCAAATGAAGGGCAACGCCTTCTTCCAAGGGGAGATAATTACGAATTCGTGAAAAATTAATGGCATAATTTACAAATCTTATTCTAAAGAACCACTGTGCTAGAAAATATTAAACTTAAGTGGAATCATCGTAGATTCAAGTTTGTTCAAATTGTGACCCCCGGGGGGTAGGGTGGGTCCAAAATGGACGATTAAAGTTTTACATAGGAAAAATCTTTATAAAATCTTTCTCAAGAACAGCAAAGCCATGATTAGTCATATAGATATGGAAGCATCCTCAGGTAGTGTAGATTCAAGTTTGTTCAAATCATGGCCCCCGGGAGTAGGTCGGGGCCACAGCGCGCGATCAAAATTTTTACATTAAATCTTTAAAAATATTCTTCTCAAGAACAACAAAGCCATGATTAGTCACATTTATATGGAACCATTCTCAGGTAATTTAGATTCAAGTTTGCTCAACCCCCCCCCGGAGGGGGGGGGTATGATGGGGTCACAATCGGCGATCAAAGTTTTACATAGGAATACATAGGAAAAATCTTTTAAAAAATTTTTCTTAAGAACAGCAAAGCCATGATCAGTAATTAAGATCCTCAGGTAGTGTAGAATCAAGTTTGTCCAAATGACCCCCGGGGTAGAGTGTGACCACAATGGGTGGACAAAGTTTTACATAGGAACAATCTTTAAAAATCTTCTTCTCAAGAACATCAAATCCATGATTGGTCATATTTATAAGGAAACATCCTCAGGTAGTGTAGAATCAAGTTTATTCATATCATGACCCCCGGGGGTAGGGTGGGGCCACATGGGTGATCAAGTTTAACATAGGAATACATAAGAAAAATCTTTAAAAATCATCTTCTCAAGAACCGCAAAGCCATGATAAGTCATATTCTCAGGTAGTGTAAAATCAAGTTTGTTTAAATCAAGACCCCCGGGGGTAGGCAATGGATGATCAAAGTTTTACATAGGAATACATAGGAAAAATCTTTAAAAATTTTCTTCTTAAGAACAGCAAAGCCACTTTTAGTCATATTAATTCAGAAGCATCCTTAGGTAGTGTTAATTCAAGTTTGTCCCCCCCCCCCCCCCTATTAAACGGAACTTTTCAATACTGAAATAATTTCTGCTTTTTCCAAGCCATGTGCTCAGGTGAGCGATGTGGCCCATGGGCCTCTTGTTTCCTTTAAAAAAAACTGCATGAATCAGCAGGCTAATGATCCAATTTAATGATAAATGTTGATGGTGCTATAGTACTTGTTACGATATAAGGTCACAAAATAATGTACTCAGTCCGTATTAGCATTAGGGTAATGGGAAAACTCTAGAGGATGGGTGTGTTAGCCAACTCCTACACATGTCAAAACCACCTTAAACCAACACCAAAATCTATATGTAAACTTCTTATATACATAAAAAGTGACTACCAGATTATGAACTTGGTTTAAGGCGGTTATGACATGTAAATAAAAACTTTTCGCTTCATTTTACGATATTTGCGAGAAAATCTAATAAATGAAAATGTAGTAATATCCCCGCTCTGATGTGAATATACTTTTTCATGTGAATATACACAACTTTAGTTAAAGAAATACAGGAAGTTGACATCGGATTCGTACAAAAATAAATCTCACCATACGGATGCCTAAGGGTGTGCTAAAATTTCAAGAAATCTGCAATGAGTAGTTGAGAAAACTGCAACGGAAATTTTGTACGGACACACGCATGGATAAACAGGAAGTTGAAAAAGGATTCCTATAAAAATGAATCCTAAACAAAGAATATGCTAAAATTTCAAGCATCTGGGATGAGTAGTTGCTGAGAAGACTGCGACGACAATTTGTTACGCACGGACAGACACACAAAGATACATACAAGGATAAAACAGTATACCCCCCCCCCCCCTCTCCTTCAGAGCAGGGGTATAAATATGAAAGCCCCATCTTCTCCCAATGTAAAAAAGGGAAAAGACTATAGAGAAGCTTTAAAGTCAAGGTCATAAACCAGAGAACAATTGGAAACGTCTTGGCAAACTCAATGCACATGGCAAAAATGAACATCCTACTGGTATCATCGCTTATTCAAAAGTTATCACTATACTGTTTAAATGTTTGAAAAGTAGGTCAAACTTAAAAGTCAAGGTTACCGGGTCAAAATCATAGTTTGTTTGGAATGGTCAAAAGTCATGCACATGGCAAATAAAGCCCTGTCTTCTCTCATTCAAAACTTAAAACCTGTGGTAAAATTTTTGAAAAGTAGGTCAGGCTTCAAGGTCAATGGTTCAAAAATCAAACTATATTTAGAAAGGTCTTCTCACAGGAAATGTACAATGTCAAATATGACATGTTTTATTGTACCCCGCTTTCGCAAAAGCGAGGGGATATTAAATCTCATTTGTCTGTCAGTCTGTCAAAAAAACTTAAACCTTGGTCATAACTTTTGAATGAGAAGAGATAGGGCTTTCATATTTCACATGTGCATTACCCGTGACAAGACCTTTCCAAATATACTGTGATTTTTGACTCAACCTTGAAGTTTGACCTACTTTTCAAAAAATTTAACTTTACTTTAAATTGGTCATAACTTTTAAATGAGAAAAGATAAGGCTTTCATATTATACATGTATATTATCTGTGACAAGGCCTTTCCAAATATACTACGATTTTTGATCCTGTGACCTTGAAGTTTGAACTGCTTTTCAAAAAATTTAACTTTGCTTAAAAATTTTGATTGAAAAGAGATAGGGCATTCATATTTAACCTGTGCATTACCTGTGAAAAGACCTTTCCAAATATATTATGACTTTTTACCCCTTGAAGTTTGACCTACTTTTCAAAAAAATTAACTTTACTATAAATTGGTCATAAAATTTGTATGAGAAAAGATAGGGCTTTCATATTAAATTTGTACATTACATGTAACAAAACTTTTCCAAATATACTATGGTTTTTGACCCCATGACCTTGAAGTTTGGCCTACTTTTCAAAATTTTTATCTTTGCTTATAACTTTTGATTTAGAATGTATAGGACTTTCATATTTACTATGTGCATCACCAGTGACAAGGTCTTTCCGAGCATACTATGATTATTGACCCCTTGACCTTTTGTTTGACCTTATTTAAAAAAAAAAATTAACTTTGATGATTACTTTTGAATGACATAAGATAGGGTGTTCATATTTGACGAGTTCATTACCTGTGTCAAAATGTTTCCGAATGTGCTATGATATTTGACCTCCGTGACCTTGACCTTCAAGGCCTAATTTTCATACATTTCATCAGTTTTGCTATATTTTGAGGGTGCGAAGATAAGGAATTCATATTTGACATGTGCATGACCTGTTACAAGCATTTCCTAATGTACTATGATTTTTAATCCCATGACCTTGACTTTGAAGTTTGAATTAATTTTCAAAAATTTTAACATTGCTAATGAAAGAAAAAGTGAGCAAGCTCACATACCCCACGCTTCCCCAAAACTCGACAATGCAACACGTAATGAATGGCACAGTGCATTTTAAATACACAGTATAATTCAAAAATGGGGCATTACTTGCAAAAAATCATCACATCAAAACTTCTTGCATATAAGGACATTCAAATCTTTGTATGTTACAAATTTAACTGGGCTGAAGTTTCTAGATAAATAATGGAATCAAAATTTCTTGGTAATATACAAATCTATACATTATTCTGAAATACCTACAAAGTTTCAGGAAATTCAGTGCCGGAATTATGCTGACAAACTGTTATTTAAATTCCTCAGTGATTTCGATTTGTTAATGAGTGTAAGTCCATGTCCAACACATGACAGTTTACACATTTAAATAATTGATGGAAACAAAATTATGATGTAGTCATTCATATGAATCTGTTTATATACTGTACTTATGAAATTATTGAAGGCAAAGCACACCAATTTGAAGGGGGGGGGGGGGGGAGAACTATCGAAGATGGTGTGTGTGTGAGTGTGTGTTTGTGTTAAACCATTAATATTTTGATCTCAAAATCAATAGGGGTCTTTTAAGGTCATAAAATATTTCATATAGAATTTCATTATAAAAAGCTGATTCCAGTGGAGTTTCTTATTACCTAGCTGGAAAGTTTCTTCAATAAAAGGCAAAACTCTTAAGGCAAAAATAATGGAATCGGAATTTCCTGGTAATATGCACATCTACACACTGTGTACTAAATATCTGCAAAGTTTGTCCAAATTCTGTGCAGCGGTTTAAGAGGAGTTGTGCTGACAAACTGTTCATCTCTATATTCAAGATATGGCCAAAAACCTAAGTTGAAAAGTGCCGAAATTCCCAGAAAAAATAATGGAATCAGAATTTCCTGGTAATATGCACATCTACACACTGTGTACTAAATATCTGCAGAGATTGACCAAATTCTGTGCAGGGGTTTAAGAGGAGTTGCGCAGACAAACTGTTCATCTTTATATTGAAGATATGGCCAAAAATCTAAGTTGAAAAGTGCCGAAATTCCCAGAAAATATAAAGGAATCGGAATTTCCTGGTAATATGCACATCTACACATTGTGTGCTAAATATCTGCAAAGTTTGACCAAATTCTGTGCATTGGTTTATGAGGAGTTGCGCTGACAAACTGTTCATCTCCATATTCAAGATATGGCCAAAAATCTAAGTTGAAAAGTGCCGAAATTCCGAGAAAAATTAAAGGAATCGGAATTTCCTGGTAATATGCACATCTACACATTGTGTCCTAAATATCTGCAAAGTTTGACGAAATTCTGTGCAGCGGTTTATGAGGAGTTGCGCTGACAAAAAAACAGGACTGACGGACTGACTGACTGACTGACACACTGACTGACTGACTGACTGACTGACGGACGGGTCAAAAACATTATACCTCACGCAACTTGTTGCGTGGGGTATAATAATTTTTTATTGAGAAAAGATACGGCATTTACATTTACATTTGCATTACCTGTTTCAAGACATTTCCGATTGTATACTCTGGTTTTTGAAATTTTTTTTTTCACATGCATTACTTGTGACAAGACCTTTCAAATTTTATTACATTTGACCTCATGACCTTGATCTTGAAGTTTGATGAAGTTTTTAGAACTATAATCTTTGCCAAAACTGTTATTAATTCAATAGTTTATGTCTTTTTTGTATAATGCACAGACAAGATAGGACACACAAACAAGAAACAAGACAGTTACAATATACCATAAATAATGGCATCCCATCCACTAAGACACTGAAAGCAGGGAACTACAATTCTTTGAATTCACTTGTCTCTTTCAAAAGTTATGACCATGGTTAAAGTCTGTAATTTTTTGAAAAAATTAGGTTAAACTTAAAAGTCAAAGTCGAGGGGTGAAAAATCATAGCATATTTAAAAACGTCTTGTCACAGGTAATGCACATGGCAAATATGAAAGCCCTATCTTCTCTCATTCAAAACTTTTAACCAATGGTAAATTTTTTTAAAGGTAGGTCAGGCTTCCAGGTCAATGGGTCAAAAATCAAACTATATTTGGAAAGGTCTTCTCACAGGTAATGTACATTTCAAATATGAAAGCCCTGTCTAATTCAAGAGTTATACCAAGGTTAAAGTTTGTTAAATTTTTTTTGAAAAGTAGGTCAAATTTCAAGATCAAGGCCATGGGGTAAAATTCATAGCATGTTTGGGGGGGTCTTGTCACGGGTAATGCACATCATATATAATAGCCCTATCTTTTCTCATTCAAAAGTTATGACCAAGGTTAAAATTTGTTAAAATTTTTTTGAAAAGTAGGTCAAACTTTGAGGTCACAAGGTCAAAAACATAGTATGCTTGGAAAGGTTTTAACAGTGGTCGAAATTTGTTAATGTTCTAATTGTAGTAGCCTGAGAGCGACAACCCTACACACCACAGCTGAATGATTTAACTTGGAAAAAAAAATTTAACTTCATGTATTCAAGGACTCAATGACTTGCTGGTACAGATGAAATGGATATGTCAAAGTGAGTTGGTATTTCCTAAATTCTTCATGTATAAACCTCAATTCTTAATTCTCAGATATTTCGGAATCCTCAGCCCCACAGTGTTTGAGATAATGATGTTTGGCCTTGTATACATTTTATGTTTTACCTCAGTCTAGAATGTTGCACTTCATTGGTTGAAACATGACTATATTTCTGAGTCCGGCAGGTAAGAATTAATATCCAGCAACATGGGCAATGACAGCATCTTGATATTAAGAATCATTTTTTACAGTGTATGTGTCTCTCACATTATGGTCTTTGAGAAAACAAATTACTTCTTAGATGTGTTACCGTCTTTGGAAACAATCTCAGTTAATTTGGCTTTGCCTTGGAGAATGATCAACCCGATAGATTTCCATAGACAGTCAGTACATATAATACATCTTATAAATAATAATAAGTTATAAGTAACAGTAACTGTCAAACTCAGGAAGGTAATCCTTCTATGTAAGAATCTGAGACATTATTTTGTATTAGACAATATTTAGACACATTTATTTTCATTTTGACAAATAAAAATTTGTGAATTGCATTTAAAATGAATGTACTGTAATGAAAGTAACAGTAGATGTAGTTATACATGTATATATAATTGTCATATTCCAGTTCATCTTTCATTAACTTCCCTAGTTGTACAGTGTCCTACTAGTGAGGAGGACCACACTAAGTTCCTAAAGAGCATAATAATTAAGGAAACTGAATATTCTGTTCTCTTTGGTTTCCTATATTTAACATCACCAATCTGGAGCACTAATATTTTGACTTGTGTTCTGTAATCAGGACTACAGATGTTGAGGTGTATTCAGTTTTCATTCCTCTGTAGTCGGAACTATAGATGTTAAGTTGTGTTCAGTTTTCATTCCTATAGATGTTAAGGTGTGTTCAGTCTTCTTCATCCCTCTGTCTTGTATTGCGAGCACCAGATGTTACCTTTCGTTTTTTGAATGTCACTTTTGTTGTCTCATTGTCCTTTGCTAAACTTTTAACTCTCTTTTCTTTAAACCTTCCTCCCTCTTGTTTTACTGTTTTCTCTTTAGGGGGCTCGGGAAGGGGAATGTCTTCAACAGGAAGGGGCTCCAATGGTTCCGTGGGTTCTTCAGGAAGTTCAAGGTTTGGAAGTTCTCTAGTTTTCAAGAATATGAGGTATATGTTAAACATAAACGTCCACAGTAAAATTATTTAAACACATGGCCCATGGACCTTATGGTTATCTAACTTTTTTCTGAAATCATATAATAAAACAAGAACATTTGGAGCAATTTATTTCAGCATTTTGGTGCGATAACATTTGTGTGCTAAGAAAATTGTATGTTGTTTTTTTCTTTAAAGATTCAGTACTGTTTACCTCTATACAGTCAATATCTTAAGGTTCTAATGAATATTTACATGAAATACATCTGTTATCCAATGGATAGATTCAAAATTTTCTAAGTAAATGTTAAAAGACTGCCTTGAATTTTTTTAAAGAGATTTTTTATCCCACAAACAACCAGTATTGAAGTCAAATGCTCTGCAGATCAGGCCCTTAAATATGCATGTGCTTAATTTTCTCATTTTATAGGATTTTATAGCATATGCATACTGATACTCTAACAGATTTAACAGAGGCTTTCAGATTTTTATTTATAACTTTGAAAAACAACAATGAAGTAATTTTCATTTATACCTTTTTTTTTCTTTTTAGTTAATAATGCAATGTGCTTGTGGACTTACTTAACTGTGGACCACTGGCCATAAGCAGATGTTGAAGTAGCCCCGTGACGGAGTGGTCCTACCTCTACCTGGTCAGGTAGAGAATCAAGTTCAGCTTGCTGAAACACAAATCAGTGAAAAGTATATGTATGAACCAGTACTTCAGTCATTTGAGTGTGATGGGAAACCCAAACCATGTATGAAAAGTGCATCTACAAACTACAGGCCCAAGGGCCACATAGCTCACCTGTGGACATTGGCTAGGAAAAAGCAGAAATCAGTTCAGTATTGAAAAGATTAAATACAAACAAATCTCGTTACCTTTAACTTGATGGGACCCAAAAAAAAACTTTGAGATATCCAAAGATCCGAGATATTAAAGAATAAGTGGTTGGGAATTCCAAATCACTTCAACATTTCAGTGGTATTCAAGACATTGGTGTTTGAGATACCGAAGTTCAACTGTATATAAGTGATCGCAATCAACCCCCTCCCTAGGGAATGGGTGCATGACTTGTTCACACTTCAATCTACATGAACTGTGGATGCTTCATTTCATGCTTCATGATTTTTCTGTACTTTATTTTCTATATAAAGCTCACATTTACATTGTTACTTACAACTCTAGCCTGCTTTTCAGCTTCTTCTTCCTCTTTCTTCTTTCTGACTTCCTGTTCCTCTAAGGACACAAAGACTTCTGGGGCGACCCATTTAGACTCTGCATGTTAGTTTAATTTATGTATGTAAGAAAAAAAATCTTGTATATGAAATATTCTATAAATAAATTAAACTAGAAATCTGACCAGTCAGCAAGGGCCCCGCCGAGGGTTAGAAATATAAGGGTGCAGAGTAGGGGATGAGAATTTTACTTGATTCCAAAAAATTTCAAAATATATAAAGAATAAGCAACAGCAACTGCTAAATATCCAACAATCTGTAAATAGTATCCTTGTATTTACATAAAGCAGTAAAAAACATCATATCTATAATAACTCAATTAAATGTATATTTAAAAATGAATGAAGCATGTGTTTTCTAAAATGCCAGCCTTCAGTGAATGCAAATATCACCCAGGCTTGTCCTTAACTCCAAAACAAATATCAGCTGCAGACAAAGGTGTTAATTAATCTTAAAGTGACAGAAAGATAACCCTCTAAAATATTTTGCAACCCAGCAAGATAATCAAACCCAAGGGATTAATTATACTGCTCTCTCAACCTTTTCTTCTAAGTTTACAATAAGAACTTTTTCAGCAATGATAGAATGAGGTTATTATCTGAATACCTGTTAAAATAAATAGTATGCTTGAATTTACATAAGGCAGAAAAAAGAAAGAAAAAAGAAAAAAAATAATGATAAAAAAGATATCTTTATCTATATCTTGTTTTTAGAATTCAATAAAATCATAACTCATTGTGTATTTTACCAAAATAAAGTATGAACATTATTTAAATCCACATTTCAGAGAATGTAAACATCATTCAGAACTGACCTTAACTTCAAAACAAACTTCATTTGCAGACAGAGGTGTTAATTAATAGCAATGTGGCAGATAAAGATAAATGCTTTGGATTTTCTTCAAGAGGAAAGTTAATTAATCCCAAGAGACTCATTGCAGCCTTTCATAGTTTCCAATAGGAACATTTTCAGCAGTTATCTCTCTTTGCCCATTCACTCTTATATAAAGTTAAGGAATACACCCCACCACCCCAGCTCCAAACTGGATGACATAGAGAACCAAACTTAGCATCAAAATATGTCTTACTGCCTATTCAACCAACATACCAAATTTGAACTTAATTGGTCAACCCTAAAAAAAGTTATTAGAAAAAAACAGAAAATTTGTGGACGGAAGAATGACAGACAGACAGACGGACAGACAGACAGAGTGATTACTATAGGGCACCCGCAAATCCTTGTGGGGCCCTAATAAATCAAAAAATATATTCTTAAATATATAATGACAATTATCAAAGGAAACAAATCCTTTAAGTGAAATTCTTAAAATGACTTTTCTCTACATCCAACTCTCAGAATTTCATTATCACAGAGCTAATGTTATGTACTAACTTGGGAAAAATTAGAAGACCCTAGAAATTAACTTCTCAAAAATAAGGCCCATAGCCCTCCCCTCCTCCCTAAAAGTCTCTACTACAAATTCACTGTAGATGAGAATGAAAAGTAGGGGTTTAGTCTATAGTGAGAGTGACTTCATTCTAGTACATGTATTAAAGTGCAAGTATCTACTGTGCTGTGTGTGAATGCATTTCAGTTCAGAGTATTAGTATTTACCATAAGTCACTGCATTCCCATACTAGAGATAAATATTAAAACTAGATGTGTCGTATTGCCACAAATGCCCCCGCAGGCAGCCAAAATTTCAAATGCCATTTTTGGTTGTAAATTTGTATTGGAACTTGACCTGATTTTCTGGTAAAACAGACTTGTCGAAATCCGTCGGTCCTGTCGGCAAGGCCGGTAAAAATTTGTCTGGACCGACAACTTTTAAGAAAACGACGGTCCAAATGACCGTTTGAAAAAATCGAGCGTGATGCAAATTTAATAAAGGTCGGGAACGGGATGCCTAGCTGAAGGTCACAAACACAGAAACTAGAACTGTCCAAAAGGGACAAATACCCCCCGCTGGGTTTTTCAGAGAAAGTACCAAATCACTAATGTTTTCTAGATCTGAGAGGTGTTCACAATTTCCTTAAACATTTACAGTGAAAATTTAATTACTCATTATATATTTTTATATGTCCGTCTTACGACGGGGCGTATTATGTTATAGCGTTCATGTTCGTCCGTCCGTTAGCTTTTTCATGTCCGGCTCATAACTTTAATACTATTAGGCCTAGAATTATCAAACTTTGTCAGCTGATACATCTAGGGTAGAAGGTGTGTCGCACATTAAAACCAGGTCGCTCTGACATTTAATAAAGACGCTATGGCTAAATATGGAAAATTCATAACTAGAAAACCATTAGACTTAGAATCAAAAAACTATGTCTTTTAACTTTTAAATTACACAATCCCAAAAGATTTCAGAGTATTGCAGTATCTTTATTAAAAAAGTGTTAAATCAAGAAAATACTAGTCTTATTTTTTTCATTATGTTCTTAACAGCAATCTGTAACAACAAAAATTCCACCTCTCCCATGGGTGTAATGATCAGGCACTGGTCAAGGAAAATTTTGATGGCAGAAAATTGCATGTCAAATTAGAGAGAAATTAATGAGTTTAGTGTGAGGAGATAACTGGTAGAGCATCTCTGATCAAGCAGGTGTTATCTACATCTCTTGGGAATTGGGCAAAAGGAATCAGTCTCTTAATTAATTGTTTGTGTTGTATTGAATTGTTCTTGTTGGCTAGTCTTACTTTCAAGATAAATTTGATGTAATTAAAACTAATTTGATATTGTATATAATAATTAAAACTATATGATATTGTATACTATAATTTAAACTAATTATTTATTGTACATTTTTTATTTGAATTTTTATATCTTTACAACAAATTGCAGACTGCCTTGTCTCACTAAGATGTCATTCAAACAAATGAATCTATACTGTTTATGATAATTTAACAATATTTGATGGGCATATCATGCTCTGGTGGGGCACTCTATCTAATGAATGAAACTAAGGTGCAGCCTAATAAAACATCAACACTAATAATTACAGTGTTTTTTATTACTTTGAAAAAATAGTTTGCAACTATCTGTCATCTTTGTGAGACATGACACTCTGCAAATTGATTGTTGAAAAAAAGATATCATAATTAATTATAGAAAATCAAATTTATTTTAATACCTTTATATCAAACTCATTTTAAAAATAAAAGGCTGGTTTTAGTAACTATGTATTTTCACAGACATAAATGACAATTAAGAGACTTAGACAACAGAGATCTTTATTTCTTTCTGCCCAATTCCCCTGAGATATAGATAAGACCTGCTTGATCAGAGATGCCCTAACAGCTTCCCACACTGAACTCATTAATTAATCTTTAACTGGATGCATGTCCACTCATTACTCACAAGGGACAAATGGATTTACACTATCTGCTGTGTAATGTAAAAACTGTTTTTTATACTTTGTGGTTTTTTTTTAGTTCTAGTGAGTAGTCTTAAGCTGTAGTTCACATTTTTGTACAGACGTTCTAGATTCTATGTCTCAAACCTTAGACATGAACCTGAAATGACTAAGTCAATAAATTAAATTAAAAAAAAACACTTGTAAAATGCAGAAAAATTATCAAATAATGTTGAAAATATCAGGTGCACATCTTCATATGGTAAATAATAAGTGTACAAATTTTCATACAAATCTATGCAATAGTCTCTGGGAACAGATCCAGACAAAACCACATAATAAAAATGAAAAAAACACCTGTAAAATGCAAAATAATTATCCAATCATAATGAAAATACCAGGTGCACACCTTCATATGGTGAATAATAAGTGTACAAATTTTCAGACAAATCCTTCCAACAGTTTCCAAGAAATGGTCCGGACAAAATCTCGTCTACAGACAGACGGACAGACAGACGGACATGCTGATTCCAATATACCCCCCCTAAACTTCGTTTGCGGGGGGTATAAAAAATGGCCGCGTATGCGGCGCGTTGACGATAGCCAATTAAATTTGTTATAGCAAAGTCATAAAACGTGTCATTTATGTCTTTTATTAAAGACTTTCTATCCCAAGGAAGGAAACTTGTAAGATTGAAGGCTGTTGAAAATAATCCAGGGCATTTTGGTGCTGTTATTCATACGACTTTCACAGCGTCAAAATAATGTACATGTATCTGGTCCGACAGAACATTTGACTTTGTCAGACCAAATGTCTGACAATGATTTCAAAATTTCGACAAGTCTGGTAAAATACCTGCATATGCAATTTCAACCTTATACAAACATCCCTACAAAAGTTTGAAAGCGGAAACTGAAAATTTCTTATTTTTTCCAAGTTCAAGAGGGATAACTCTGTCAAAAATCATCGAACCATGACCATATTGAAACTAGACCTGAGTATTCCTAAGATGTATCCATATGTCAAATTTGAGTTGAATGTGTGCAACTGTTGCCGATGAATGAACAGAAAGTCAATGATGACAGAATGATGGAACAGAACACAGTAAAACATGCTTATAGTGAACATGCTTACAATGAATTTATGCATACAGCAAAGTGATTTTTATTTTCTGTGACATTAAAATATATTGTAAACTTAATGGATATAACGAATTACGCTTATAACAAAGCAAAATCGTCCATCCCTGGCACTTCGATATAAACCTGTTTTACTGTAATACTATATGCCCCAGGCCATTTTATGGCAGGGGTATAAGAATGTATCCTAGTTACATGTATACAATAAGTATCAACCTTTAGAAGTGACAGTATTTTTATTAACCGTGAGTGACTATATTCTAGTACTATTTATATTTACCATGAGTGACTATATTCTAGTACTACTAATATTTACCATGAGTGACTGTATTCCAGTAATATGTGTAACCCTCCACTGACTTTGCCTCGTACCATTCACCTTCTTTCTTCTTCTTCTCAGCTTCCAAAAGTTTCTTTTCCACTTCTTCCAGTGCTTTCTGTTTGGCAATATTTTCCTCTTTCACTTTCTTTTTTCTATCAGCTTCTTTTTCTAACATACATGTACAAAAATAAATTTCTGTATTTATTTCAAAAGTTTTTGCACTATGATTGTGATTATGCATAAGACTGAATGTTTCTTAAGGGTAAGATAACAAACAGATTATGCCAGTACGTGTTATAAGAATTTGAAATCAGTCTTGAGATTTTTGCTTTGAAGAGTTGAATTGCCCCCGAGATGAACCTAGACCTAACCTTACACCTATATGTCTGCCTACCTGCTTCTGATCTGACCCTCACTCCGTACTTAGCAGCGAGTTCTGGGTCACTGGCAAGATCTTTTTTAAATGCTTCCAGTGCAGCCTACAAATACATCACAGCAGTGAAAACTAGAAATGTCCAAAAGGGACAAATACCCCCCGCTGGGTTTTTCAGAGGTGTCAAATCACTAATGTTTTATGGATCTAAGAGCTAGGTGTTCACAATTTTCTTATTAACATTTAGAGTGAAAAAATAATTGCTCATTATATTTTTTTTTAATGAATGAAACCAAGGAACAACCTAATAAAACATCAATACCAATACATTGTAATTACATTGTTTTTTAATACATTGAAAAAATAAATTGCAACTATCTGTTATCTTTTTGACATTCTGCAAATTGATTTTTGGAAAAAAAAATCAATTACAAAATCAAATTAATCTTGATAACTTTATATCAAATTCATTTTAAAAATGAAAGGCTGGTCATCCAGTAACTATGTACAATGACAGACAATAAATTACAATTAAGAGAATTAAAGAACAGAGATCTTTAAATTCCCAGGAGATATAGATAACACATGCTTGATCAGAGATGCCCTAACAACTTCCCACACTGAACTCATTAATTTATCTCTAACTGGATGATGTCCACTCATTACTCCCAAGGGTCAAATGGATTTACACTATCTGCTGTGTAAAGTAACCAGAAGTCTCTGACGAGACTGTAGCTCTACTGGTTTGTACTCATAACGAAGGAAGATAAAAGTAGCACTTGGACTTGAAACTTTACAACAGCTGCAATAAATAGAATGATGATCCTTGGTTTAGTCTCTTTTTGTGGCAAGATTTATTGCAATCAGACTAAAACTGTTGAAAGAATTTTACAGAAATTTAGATTTTAATAACCATGGCAACATCATTCAACAAAACCAAAAAACAATAAAGACAATTATGCATCTTAGTGTAGTCTACTTGTGTGCCAAGTTATACTGAAATCAGACCAAAACTGTAGGAAGAGTAGCATTTTGAAAGTATTTCACAGAACACAGAAATTTCTAGTCGCCCGTGTGGCGCAGTGGTTAGAGCATTTGCTCTAGAGTCGCGGAATAAGGAGTTGATCCTTAAGTCGCAGGTTTGAATCCCACTGTGGGACGTGAAGACCGGTCCTTCGGATGAGACCGTATAAACTGAGGTCCCTTGTCGCAGTAGGTGCTGGCATGAAAAAGATCCCTCACTGCTCAATGGCCCTGAGTGCCGAGTAAAGGTCAAAATTTGCAGCTCTCCACCGGCAAATGGTGGCGTCTCAATATGAGTGAAAAATTCTCGAAAGGGGCATTAAACAATAAACAAACAAAACAAACAAACAAAAATTTCTATTTTTAGCAAACATGGCAACACTGTTCATCGAAAACATAAACCAATAAATAGAATTATGTATCTTAGTGTAGTCTACTTGTGTGCCAAGTTATAATGAAATCAGATCAAAACTGTAGGAGGAGTAGCATTTTGAATGTATCTCAAGGAAATTTCTGTTTTTAGTAACCATGGCAACACCATTCATTGAAATAAAAAAAAACCCATGTACAGAATTATGTATCTTAGTGTAGTCTACTTGTGTGCTAAGTTATACCGAAATCAGACCAAAACTGTAGGAAGAGTAGCATTTTGAAAGTATTACAGAGAAATTTCTATTTTTAGTAACCATGGCAATACCGTTCATCGAAATCAAAAACCGATACACAGAATTATGTATCTTAGTGTAGTCTACTTGTGTGCCAAGTTATATTGAAATCGGACCAAAACTGTAGGAGGAGTAGCATTTTGAAAGTATTACAGAGAAATTTCTATTTTAAGTAACCATGGCAACACCGTTCATAATTAAAAACCGATACACAGAATTATGTATCTTAGTGTAGTCTACTTATATGCCAAGTTTTATTGAAGTCAGATCAAAACTGTAGGAGGAGTAGCGTTTTGAAAGTTTTTCAAGGAAATTTCTATTTTTAGTAACCATGGCAACACCGTTCATCGAAATCAAAAACCGATATACAGGATTATGTATCTTTATGTAGTCTACTTGTGTGCCAAGTTATATTGAAATCAGAGCAAAACTGTAGTAGGAGTAGCGTTTTGAAAGTATTTTCCAGAAATCTCTATTTTTAGTAACCATGGCAACATCATTCATCGAAATTAAAAACCGATACAAAGAATTATGTATCTTAGTGTAGTTTACTTGTGTGCCAAGTTATATTGAAATCAAACCAAAACTGTAGGAGGAGTAGCGTTTTGAAAAATTGTTTACAGACGGACGGACGACGGACACATTACTATCGCATAAGCTCTTCTGGTCTCTGACCAGTAGAGCTAAAAATTGTTTTTAAGGGAGCCGACTGGGGTTTTATTGTGTGAAAACTACTATAGAGAAACTCTTTAATTTTATACCATATGTACCTTACATTGACTTCAGTATGCATGCCAAGTTTAGTGAAAATCTACCGCCTGGTTAAGTTTTAGGGACCATCTCAAAATACAGGTACATTTACTATAGGATTATATAGGAAATTACCATTTTTTCGCACTTCGGAGCAAATTATACAAATGCTACTATAGACTTTTTGCTCAGATTACATTATTTGATGGGTAATACTATATTGTACATTTTGTGCAAGAAACACAAAATTCTACCATTTGGTTTCCAGAGGGGGCATCTCAAAATGTCAAAATTCATGATATTTTCCTATTTTTATGGAGTACAACAAAACATGACAGATACCACAGATTTACATAAAAATAATAAATATGATTGTTAGATTCTCAATTTCCTATGTTTAAAATTTCAAGAGCATGTATTTTGTACTTTTTATTTTATGGCATAATTAATGACCCCACTTTAAGAACTTCGGTTATTCATAACGTCAAAAACACACTATTACGACGTCTATCTACCCATCATTTGAAAAATCTTTTAAAAAATCAGTTATTTAAAAACGTATTTAGATTTTTTAAACTGATTTCCTAAATTTGTTAATTTTTATAAATTATGTAAAAACAGTTGCTTTCAAAGAGTAAATACGCTTTATTTTACTATGCTGCGCGAAGTATTGCGCAATGAAAACCCCAGTCGGCCCCCTTAATACTTGGTGATTTTTTTTTTGTTTTGATGAATAGTTTTAGCTGTAGTTCACATTTTTGTACAGATGTTCTAGATTCTGTGTCTCAAACCTTAGAAATAAACCCAAAATGACTAAGTCAATAAAAATGAAAAAAAAAAACCCTGTAAAATGCAGAAAAATTATCAAAAAATGCTGAAAATACCAGGTGCACATCTTCATATGGTAAATAATGAGTGTACAAATTTTCATACAATTCTATGAAATAGTCTTTGAGAATAGGTCAGGACAAAACCACATAATAAAAATGAAAAAAAAACACCTGTAAAATGCAGAAAAATTATTCAATCATGATGAAAATACCAGGTGCACACCTTCATATGGTGAATAATAAGTGTACAAATTTGTAGACAAATCTATGCAATAGTTTCCGAGAAACACTCTGGACAAAATCTTGTCTACAGACAGACAGACAGACGGACAGACAGACAGACATGGTGATTCCAATATACCCCCCCTAAACTTCGTTTTCGGGGGGTATAAAAAAGCTCCATCGTGAACAAAGTACAGTCTCTTACAAAACTTTGTGACTAGTCATGTGACTAGTCATCAATTTTTTCTAATCGTTTTAAAACTTCTTTGTACATGTTTAACAAAATCATCTATTTTTTTTCAAATATATCCATGTAATATGCCTTTACATTCCAACTTTATTAAAATGCAACCAAAAAAAGTTTCAAATTCTGTTTGTTAACCTTCTCCATCTTTTGGATATCATCCTCCAGCTCTTCTTTTTTCTTGGCATCTGTAATACCCTTCTTTCTGACCTAGATTATGTAAATACACAGATTATGTTATGTTTTACATTATATAAGATTATTTTTAAAACTCCCTTTGCAGTTTGTGACATTTAAGTCAGAACTAAATTGAAATTTTCCGAGATATTAGTGATTTGTAAAATTCTTTCCTATGACAATATGACATTTGATTGAGATGATACATTATCTGTTCACATACCACCTATGTTCTATCTTAACAGAGAGAAAAGAATGGTCAGATGTAGTCAAAACAATATACAACATATATCCAAACTATATAGAAACTTTAGTGTAAAACTTACTTCATCAATTTTTCTTTTAACATTTTCTTGGTGCTTCTTCCCTTTTTCATGAAAGTCAACGCTCTGTGTAAAATTGCAAAATGATAGTTACACATATGAAAAATATATATTGTACACACTTGCAAATAAGTTGATTTTTGATATTTGAGTCTACCTTGACGAGTTACATATCAAGCTCTCATTAAATAAACAATTATTCAATGGAACTGCTTGCCATGTATGCGATTTTAGAATCAGATTTCTGCTGACTAATCATATAAATTACTGGTTTACAATTACATCTTTTATTTTCTGAGTTACCCATCATTGCCTATAGTTTTATTTTTGCTAATTTATTTATTTTTTAATGTAGAAATTTGAAATTACAGTGTGATACCTATAACTCCAATGAATTGACAAACTTACTGGCTTATTGTCTGTTATCCAACATTTACAGTATTCACAAAATTTTCTTGGCTGTGATTTCCAGTATTCTGACCTGTAAAAACCAAAATCAGTAGTTCATTAGTACCATTTTAGGAAATTCAAAACACAGTGTCAAACATACCCTATAGCTAAATCTTATACACAAAAAATATCAATTGTTTTTTTTTCTTTATATATTAAAACACGTTAAACAAATTCCCAAGTAAACCTAGGATCATATGCATGAGTCTTTAAGTATGTAAAGAAATACTTATATATAAAAGAAAAGTAGAAGTAGACTCGTTTACATACTTTGGAGCTACATTAAAACCAGAGGGAAGGAAAATGGAGATAATAAGAAGAGACTTTAAAAAGCAAGAAACTTTATTTTTACCACACTTTAGAATATATATTTATACATACGGAACAGCAGCAATAACATCAAAACAACATTAAAACTTTTCAAAAAGCTTGAAAGTACTGTTACTCTTATATGGAAATGAAGCAAGGAAAATGAACAAAGGAGACAAAAGATGACGGAACAAATGATCAAGATTAGACGGAGAGCAAGGACGAGACTGATCAATGAGGAAATAAGTGGGAGAAGAATGGATCAAATTGGATGGATTAACTGGACATACACTGAAACTAGATACCACCAGTGGGGTAGACTTTACTTTACCGGTCCCCTGGCTCCGGGGCCATAAAACTTAGATGAGCTCACTTTTGATCTCAGTCTCATTTTTACAAAAGGAATATATAGTAAAAAAGTGAGACCGAGATCAAAAGTGAGCTCATCAAATTTTTATGGCCCCGGGGCCAGATCCGCAAGATCCGCGCGCTCATTGCACTATGACGTAAGATTTACATCACTCAACTGATTGGGGTTGGTTTTGCACATTTTTCGACTGGTTAGCGTTAGTCTTGCACCCACCCAAAAGATTAGGGTTAGTCCTTGCATAAGTTTTCGACTGATTAGGGTTAGTCTTGCATCCATCCGAGAGATTAGGGTTAGTCCTCGCACATGGGTTAGTCTAGCATGGTCTAGCATCCGCCTGGGAGATTTGAGTTAGTCCTCGCATACCATCCGAGAGATAAGGGTTAGTGTCTTGTTCTTTTAGATTAATTAAGAAATCATTTGCGTCTGTATTTTTTGCAAGATCTTAATTCAGCTTCAACGACATCTCGTTGGTTTGTTTACATGAAAAAATGGCTAAGTACGAAAGAAACGGCACTAAGCATGCGCCGCACGCGCTTTATTCACAATTATGTTTTGTCTCCTATTCACTGAATAAACAATATTTATTACTTTTTTTCAGAGAACAAGGTTAAAAACTTCTTTTAAAAACGAAGTTTTAAACTAAACTTTTAACTGTAGAATTCGAATTTGGGGTCCAAAAGGCTTAAAACCTCATTTTTTCATTTTTTTTTTTGATCGCTCACGCGATCTCATATATATGTAAGTCGCCTATGGCGACACTATATTTTAGCGCGTTTTTCTGGGGACCGATATAGTAAAGTCTTTCCCACCAGTGATATTAACATAGGCACCCAGCGGAAGAAGAAACCACAGGCAACTAAAAACAACATGATGCCGCAAAGTAGAGAGGGAAAGTCCAGATGCTGGCTGGTAATCGCAGAATGAAGCGAGAATAGTAGCAGCCAATTGGAATGAATGGAGGTGCTCTGAGGAGGTCCTATGTACGTGCCACCAGGCATAAGGAACATAGATGAATTTGAAAGATGGAGGAAGTGATACAGTTGCTTTAGTCAAACATTATTTTTTTAAATTCATTTTTCTTTTTTTTTTTTTTTTGCTCAGAGGGTAACGTTTAATTTCGCATAGCTGCATGTCACACATTTTCAATCATTCATTTGAAAGGATGTGTACCAAACTGTTTTCCTTTAAAGTGAATAAAATTGGCTGCTTTGATTGACAAAGAATTCGTGATTTTCAAAGAACAGTATCTTGAGAAAAAAAAAAGGAGGGTTAAATCTAAGTGTCTAGTGTTCAGTTAAAAGTGCACGTGTAATCCCTGGTACTCATGTTTTCTCACGGAGTTGAACTATAGAGATAAATAGATATGATTTGTTTTAACAGTGCTCTTTTCCTATAACTTGCGACTTCGCACTTACATTACTTAGCTTCGTTGACACAGGAAGTTTACAATGTAAGTGTGCGTGCGCTATGAATCCCGGGATGCCTATTTTAGGCTATATTTGTTAGGTAGCATTTTATTGGTGAAAAATTCGTACAAATCTCGTTTTCAGGAACCAATGAAATTCACCCGAATTCCAAAGGTCGCACATGCGTACTGATACAATACATTTGTTGTTTCTCTAGATCCAGGGACCCCGGTAGCAGACTGGAGGTTTTTGTAACCGTTATCACAGAAAAGTGGGAGGGAAAGTGTCATAAGCCACACCCTTTTATGTGTGCTTTATGATATTTCAGTATGGTAAGCGTGAATGCACCTAAAGTGTGCTGTCTCGGTTTGTTATGATGTGTGGTTTGCAGGCTACCACAGTGTTTACGTTTTTATGTCGGTGAAGTTGCTCTAAAATTAGGTGTTTTAGATAAATTCTCCAGTTTCAGCTATTTTTCATGTTATTTTTTAGTATCTTTTGTGGCATGTTCACATACTTTTGCAGATAATATATTGCATTAACATAGGATGTTGCCAACTACCCACAAGTGCATCAAGTTATATTCATGTGGGTCAAGGTAAAACGAAACATTACGTGCATAGGCAGGGAAATGAGAACATTTTGTCACATAATCATAATATTTTCGTTATCCTTGATGTAAATCGGTCCAGTAAAGTACAATAATGATAAGAATAACTCTTTCATTTTCACTAACCCCCTTATGATGGCCTATCTATTGCCCATCATGGATCGAGCCATATTTTATTATTGAGGCGTTCATTTAAGGAGTGAATTTGATTTTTGATATTTCATGAGGAAATAAATAGAAGATATTCAATGTTTTGTAGATGAATATGGATTTTATTTCACGAGTAGGACAGGATTTTTTTTATATTTTCACGAGTGCAAAGCACGGGTGAAAATATCAAAAATCCTGTCTCACAAGTGAAATAAATTCCAAAGTCATCTACAAAACATTGAATTTTCTGTTTATTACATTTTCTTTGATTTTCCCTTTGCCTCACATCTTCGTAAAACAGTGTCATAGGCTGTGACGTCATAGTTAAGCAGTTGAGACGTCATAGCTAAGCGATTAAGAGATTGAAAAATGTTGTAAACATGGATTTTTATAAATATATTTGGAGAAACTTTGGCAGTTTTATTCTATGTCAGGATGGTTCATTTACTTTCTCTATCTTCTGACAGGCAAGGGAGTTTAAAAAAAAACAAAAAAAAACACTCTTCGTTAAGGGAAGAAAAATCGAGAGTTTTGCCACACTTCTGATATTCTCACACTGTGAGAATACCATTTTGATACCCTTTCACACTGTGCCAGAATATCAGTTTTATCCAATAAATAAATAACAGTATTTCACATTTGAAAATGTAATAAATTAAACTCTTAAACAGTGAAATATCATTTTTTGCATACTTCATAGGAATGAACTGTTTTGCATATTTAATATTAATCAAACAATGTGCTTAACTTCAAAGAAAAACACCACAGTTGTGTTAATTGTCACTATTTTTGAAGCTAATATTTATTTTGAAAATGGGTGGATTTATTAAGCTTGTTAATTGTCATGTATATTTGAATATTATTCTTTTTATTAGTAGTAGAAGTAGATTTTTTTAATGCTTTATTTCTGTGTACTTGATGCAGTTAATAGATTATAAATAAATTGCACAGAAATTTTTAACACACACACCCACTTCACTCTTCACTCATACTTACATAAACAATAATTAATATTTTAGCCATATTTACAAACTATGTAAAAAAGCAAATTGTATGCAGCCTTTGTCTCTTAATATTCATCTTTTTTCTTAGCAATTAAGTTTCCAACATAAGTTTCCATTGTGTCCATACAGACTCAAATTTATCAGCAGTTGAATTTTTAACAGATATGTATATTTCCACATTATTGTACACTTTTAAATAGGCTACCAGTCCATTTAAATTTGGCATTTTAATATTTTTTAAACAATGAAAAATATCCTTTTTTTTTCTTTTTTTGGTTATTGTAAAAATATGTTCTTTATATTTCAGGACCAGAGTGACACAGGTCAGTATTGCATTCTTAGTCATTGATGAGCTTTTTGATAATGTTTTATACTCTGGAAAGAACTGTATTTAAAATTTCTCTTCCTGTTCTTCCATAATTTATATTGCAAAAGTAAAGTTTTACTCTATGTCAGGTATAGAACATACTCTTCTGAACATTTTTAAGTAACTTTCAATGTCAATGTATAGTAGAAAAGAAATTTTCAAAATGTCTGTATTGGATATTCTTATTAAATGATTTTTTAGACTGGGGAGGATGGAATACAAGAGATTCCATGGAAGGAGATTCTGTCTCCAGAATGGAGGATTCTAACCTCAGCATGGGGGACACAAAGGCTGATTCGGTGTATGGTGGCAGCAATATTGGGGTAAGACGTAGATACTATTAATAAGTTTTGGATAAAATCTTCATGTACTCTATATATGAGTGTTTTAACTTGAAACTTTCATGACTCCTATAAATATTTCAGAATGATGATGACTACAGTAATATGTATGATGAGTATAATGATTTTCATGAGGGATCAGATACTGAGGATGATGACGATGAAAATGAGCGTCCATACACGTCCACTCCACAATCCATGCCCTTTAAATTCATAAATGGAAAAGATGGAATGGGTAAACTAATCAAGATTGATATATATATAGAGAGACAGACAGACAGAGAGATGCATAATTGTGGAAAATCATTTTTGAAAATCTCTGATATTTACAGTAATATTGCTAATTGAATTGTAGCAACCTGTGAGAAGTGTGGTGCAGTGGGAATCAAGCATGCCTTCTACTCCAAGTCTAAGCGCTTCTGTAGCTTATCTTGCTCCAGGAGTTTTGCCACTTCTCAACGAGAGGGAAAACAGAGCCCAACAGGAAAGGGCGATGGAGTCATCTCTCCTTTGGTATAAAACACTGCTTCTATAATATGGACTTTCTCATTTATGTTAGAGGTTTAAAAAAATCATTAAATTTGATTTTACTCTTAATTTTAGCCTCCAAAGAAACCAGCAGCCAAAAAAATAGCCAACCAAAGCCATAATCAAAGACCCACGGACAATGTTCCTAGAACTCTGACCAAAAGAGCAGGTTCATATTCTTTTTTTTTCTTTTATCAATTATTTAAAAATCAAATCGAACAATTTAAATCACAATATTTCTTGCAATAAATATTTATGTTGGATTGGTCTTTATTAAAGGTGGATTGAAGGGCTTTGACTGGGGACCTTACCTTTCTTCTGGAGGGGCAGAAGCAGCACCTGTCAGCTACTTTAAGCATGTAAGTATGTGAAGAAATAACACTTTTCAGCTAGAGAGGACATGGAGTCACCATAAGTAAGTCCCCTAAAACCCCAAAATGAAATTATTTTGTAAACTAATTGTAGATAAACATTTGATTCTTTCATGCAACCATATTTAACCTATATTATTGATCACACAGTATTTTCAAATAGATTTTTATTCGCTTGGATCATAATAAAATTGATACTGAAATGATGTAGAAATGATATTTTTCACTCAGGCAATGAAATATGTATGTCTCGTTATGTTGTACTGTGTATATATTCGTCTTCCAGTGTCCAATGTTTGATAGCTGGCACAACATCACCACAGGGATGAAATTGGAGGTTGTTAACTTTGAAAGTGATCTCTCTGGCAATGCCTTCTGGATTGCCACCGTCATTAAAATAGCAGGTATTAGCATATACACTTCATATCAAAATTCTGTACCTTGTCTTTAGATCTTTAGTTCTAAATTGAAGTTGGAAGAAGCATAATACTATGATTTATGATGAAAAAATTTAAATGTTTTGTGAAGATTTTAAAGAATTTTATGGGAAATGTGTGTCTTATTCAACAAAGAGTTCATCTGATTTTGAAGCAGATGTTGGAAGCTGTTTTTAGCTCACCTGAGCTGAAAGCTCAAGTGAGCTTTTCTGATCACCCGTTGTCCGTCGTCCGTCCGTCTGTCCGTCACATTTTCAACTTCTTCTCAAGAACCACTGGGCCAATTTTAACCAAACTTGGTACAAAGTATCCTTGGGTGAAGGGGAGTGTAAATTGTTAAAATAAAGGGCCAAGTCCCCTTCAAAGGGGAGATAATCAAGAAAAGACAAAAATAGGGTGGGGTCATTAAAAAATCTTCTTCTGAAGAACCACTGGGCCAGAAAAGCTGAAACTTATGTGGAAGCATCCTGGGATAGTGTAAATTCTAAATTGTAAAAATCATGACCCCCGGGGGTAGGGCGGGGCCACAATAGGGAATACAAGTTTTACATTGAAATACATAAGAAAAATCTTTAAAAATCTTCTTCTCAAGAACCACTGGGCCAGAGAAGCTAAAACTTATATGGAAGCATCCAGGGGTAGTGTAGATTCTAAATTGTAAAAATCATGACCCCCGGGGGTAGGGCGGGGCCACAATAGGGAATCCAAGTTTTACATTGAAATATATAGGAAAAATTTTTAAAAATCTTCTTCTCAAGAACCACTGGGCCAGAAAAGCTGAAACTTATATGGAAGCATCCTGGGGTAGTGTAGATTGTATTTTGTTCAAATCATGACCCCCGGGGGCAGGGCGGGGCCACAATAGGGAATCCAAGTTTTACATTGAAATACATAAGAAAAATCTTTAAAAATCTTCTTCTCCAGAACCACTGGGTCAGAAAAGCTGAAACTTTTATGAAAGCATCCTGGGGTAGTGTAGATTCTAAATTGTTCAAATCATGACCCCTGGGGGTAGGGCGGGGCCACAATAGGGAATCCAAGTTTTACATTGAAATACATAAGAAAAATCTTTAAAAGTCTTCTTCTCAAGAACCACTGGGCCAGAAAAGCTGAAACTTATATGGAAGCATCCTGGGGTAGTGTAGATTCTATATTGTTCAAATCATGACCCCCAGGGGCAGGGCGGGGCCGCAATAGGGAATCCAAGTTTTACATTGAAATACATAAGAAAAATCTTTAAAAATCTTCTTCTCAAGAACCACTGGGCCAGAAAAGCTGAAACTTTTATGAAAGCATCCTGGGGTAGTGTAGATTCTAAATTTTTCAAATCATGACCCCCAGGGGCAGGGCGGGGCCGCAATAGGGAATCCAAGTTTTACATTGAAATACATAAGAAAAATCTTTAAAAATCTTCTTCTCAAGAACCACTGGGCCAGAAAAGCTGAAACTTATATGGAAGCATCCTGGGGTAGTGTAGATTCTATATTGTTCAAATCATGACCCCTGGGGGTAGGGCGGGGCCACAATAGGGAATCCAAGTTTTACATTGAAATACATAAGAAAAATCTTTAAAAATCTTCTTCTCAAGAACCACTGGGCCAGAAAAGCTGAAACTTTTATGAAAGCATCCTGGGGTAGTGTAGATTCTAAATTGTTCAAATCATGACCCCCGGGGGTAGGGCGGAGCCACAATAGGTATATTAAAAGAGGAGAATCTGGTAAAGAACAGCATGGCCAAAGTTACTCAGGTGAGCGATGTGGCCCATGGGCCTCTTGTTTCAATTTTGTTATGATTTACTGGAATTTTGCATGAGTAATAAGATATCCATAGGCAGAAAAGTTGGTTTCGCAGAAGTATATACTCTAAATGCTCTTTAGTTTTGTTTAAAAACAAAGAAAACATTAACAAGGATGCTGATTTTTCTGTTGTTGGACAGGGTACAAGGCCTTGATGCGTTATGAGGGCTATGCCAATGATCCATCGCATGATTTCTGGATCAACCTATGTACAGAAGAAGTACACCCTGTTGGCTGGTGTGCTACAAGTGGGAAACCCCTTGTTCCTCCAAAGTGTAAGTAATAAGATAATAAAGTGAAAGCCTTTTCTCAGCATAAAACCTGTGATTTTTAATTCATGAGAATGTTGAAATAACCTTTTGAATGTTGAATGTAGAATCTCCAAGTATGACTTGGACATAACTCTCATAGATTTCATTTCACTGAACAGATATACAGAACAAGTATGTGGATTGGAAAGAATACTTGGTGAAGAGGCTAACAGGCTCTAGAACGCTTCCTAATAATTTCTACAACAAGGTATGATGTGGCATGGTCATTTTTTATGCCCCCGGATCAAAAGGTCCCGGGGGTATATTGTTTTTGTCCTGTCTGTCTGTTTGTCTGTTTATCTGTTTGTCTGTTTGTCCGTTTGTCTGTTTGTCCGTTTGTCTGTTTGTCTGTCGTCAACTTTAACCTTGCCCATAACTTTTGATTGGTTGGAGCTATGACTTTCATATTTCACATGTGTATTCCTTGTGACAAGACCTTTCTTTGGGTACCATCATATTTGACCTTTTGACCTTGACCTTGGAGTTTGACCTACTTTTGCAAAATTTTATGAGACTTTAACCTTAGCCATAACTTCTGAACAGTTGGTGCTTGGGGTTTCAAACTTCACATGTGTATTCTTTGTGACAAGGCCTTCCTTTGGATACCAACAATTTTGACCTTGACCTTGGAGTTTGACCTACATTTGAAAAACTTTAACCTTGGCCATAACTTTTGAACAGTTGGTGCTTAGGGTTTCAAACTTCACATGTGTATTCCTTGTGACAAGACCTTCCTCTGGATATCAACCACTTTGACCCTTTGACCTTGACCTAGGAGTTTGACCTACTTTTGAAAAACTTTAACCTTGGCCATAACTTTTGAATGGTTGATGCTAGGGCTTTCATACTTCACATATGTAATCCTTGTGACAAGACCTTCCTTTGGATACCAACCTATTTGACCCTTTGACCTTGACCTAGGAGTTTGACCTACTTTTGAAAAACGTTAACCTTGGCCATAACTTTTGAATGGTTGGTGCTAGGGCTTTCATACTTCACATGTAATCCTTGTGACAAGATCTTCCTTTGGATACCAACCACTTTGACCTTGACCTTGACGTTTGACTTTTATTCAAAAAACTTTAACCTTCACCATAACTTCTGAACAGTTGTATCTAGGTCTTTCAAATTTCATAGGTGTATTCCTCGAGACAAGACCTTTGTTTGGGTATCAACATTTCTTATCTTTTGGCCTGGATTTTGACTTGCATTTGAAGAAACTTTAACCTTCGCCATAAGCTGCCATACGGGGGCATCAGTGTTTCACAAACACATCTTGTTTTTTTTTTTTACAAGCTTTCTACATATTGTCTCAGAGGTGAATCTAGAATGCCTTTTTTTTTTTTCATGGATTACACTATATTTTTCTCGTTGTCCCACTTGAAAACCTTGTATGTGCCATATGTTATGCAAGAAATTTATGATTCCTGCTGTTGAGCTTTTAAAGTGCATCAGGTTCAAGATTTAAAAAATATGATTGGGTGTAATGTTCATAATTATGAATAGTTTTTTAAATGGCACCAATTGAAAAGAAAGCCAAGTTGTTGAAAGTTACTCTGAGTGGACGATAGTAATTATGGTAACACTGATGCATATTTTATTGTCAAAGGAAACCTTGCAAAACTTGAAGATTGTGAAAAAAATGACAGTGTTCAGATATTCATTTCTGGAATTCAGATGTTCGTTTCAGGAAAGTTGGTTAAAAAAAGTAACCTTTCCTTTCCAAAAATGATAAAGAAATGTTTGGTACATTGTGTCAACATAATGACTCTTGTGTGTTAATTAAAGAACTTCTTGTAAGATCCGTAAACCATATTGACATCTTTATTTATAGTCAAATATTAAATAATGTATATGAATCAGAACAATTAACATATGCGTCCTTCAATTTTAATAAAATAGCTTGGAGAAAATTTAAAGGTACATGTGCTAAAATTAGAGATTTTGCAGTGAAAACCTATTTGGGACAACTTCCCCATTGTTGAAGCTATGGGGGAGTTGGCCAACTGTCACTAATTTCCAGGTTTACCTCTGTTGACTGTATACCGTATATACTCGCCTATAAGTCGGTTTTTTGGGAGTTAAATTTTGGTCCAAAACTCTATGTCCGACTTATAGGCGAGTCATAAAAAGCTTAGTATTTTCCTGGACGCCGAAATGTAGTATTTTATAAACATTTCCCATGATTATCATTGAACAACGTCTGGATATATTATATCATTTACGTATTCTAAGATTATACATAAAATACAAGTATTTACGTATTTTAATAACTTTATTTTCATCTTAAGTGTGCATTATGTATTTTTCTTAATGATCTTAGATTAAATATTGGCGTCATGTTTAAAAATATTAATTGAAACCAGGTTAAAACATTAGAGCATTGATATTAAATTGTCAACTGATTCTGGCAAAAAGTTGTACCGACTTATAAGCGGGTCAATGGCAAATCCCTCCAAAATAACCTCAAAAAATACAACCGACTTATAGGCGGACCGACTTATAGGCGAGTATATAAGGTAACTTAATCAGTAGACTTTCTTTCATGATGTCTTGGATTTTCAGGTGGTGGAATCTATAAATAGTCATGGATTTAAGCACCACATGCAGGTGGAAGTGGTGGACAAAATGTGTGTGTCAGCGATGCGCGTCGCTAAAGTAGAGGAGATCATAGGTGGGAGATTAAGACTACAGTATGCTGACACAAAGGTTTGTCTTCATAAAAACATTACTTAATCGTGGCATGAAACTAAAATTTCAGACCAATATACATGTAACTTTAAAGAGATCTTGATTGTAATTTTTTTTTGAATGTTTTTTCAGGAGGAGGATGACTTTTGGTGTCATTGTAGATCTTCCCTGGTTCACCCTATTGGTTGGTCCCAGCAGATGGGACACAAACTGCATGCTACAAATGGTATGTCACTCATTATTGGTAGGATATTTATTTCTAGGTATCATTTATATCTTTTTAATGTAATACATGTATATACATCCTTTGTATTTTAGACTACAGAAATAAGTGCTTAAATAAAATTGCTGTTGAGAAATATGATGCCAATGATGCTACTCCAAGCTTGTTTTCCAAAGTAAGTATTTTTTTATTTTATTTTTGTAATCTTTTGTCTGGTTTGGTTTTAGCTCTACTGGTCAGAGATGGTAAGGTGTCCATTGTTCTTCCATCTTCCTGTAAACAATTTTTCAAAATTCTAAGTACTACAGTTTTGGTCCAATACGTTCTATTTCCATAATGGAAGAGTTATACTTCTTAGTGCACTCTTTTGTGAAAAAGTCGGAAAATGTACAAATCTCGCGGGATTTCTGGGACAAACGTAACATAAACATGTAAACAATATGTTGAATGTCGATGAACAACTCCTAAGAAAATGCAAATGAAATATTTTATTGTTGTGGACTTTATATACATCAAGAGTAGGAATGACAACAATAACAATTTATATCTATTGTTGATCGTACGTATCTTTTTATTGTATGGTACATCTAAATACAATACACATGCCTCGGAAATGTCGTATTTTTTATTAATGGATGATAAATTTAGGGTTCTCGCTCTCTTACATATGTCTTTTAGTTCTTCTACTCTTTAATTGGAATGACAAATACATTTAACATTTAAAATTGGATTGAGATTGGCATGTTTTGTATTATCCGCAACGCCATGCTGTCCCAGTCGGACGACCAAACGCGCCTCTAATTTTGAAGAGTTCACTAATGGAAATAGAACGTATTTCAATAAGACTTGGTACATGAGTACCTTGTACTAAGATACACAATTTTATATATCGGTTTTAAATTTTGTTCCCATAGTTACTTAAAATAGAAATTTCTTTTAAAGTCTTTCAAATCACTCCCCTCCTACAATTTTGGTTCAATTCAAAAAGAGCACAAGTACACTATACACTATATTAAGATACACCAACTACACACCAGAAGAGCTTCAGTTATCAGAGATTTCTGGTTTTTTAATAGTTTGGAACAGTCTGTGCATTTATTTATCTTTCAAGTACCGTATTGATCCTGTTTTTTTCTTCCAGATGAAAGATACTCCAAATGGAATGAAATTTCAGGTTGGAACAAAGTTGGAAGCAATTGACCCATTGAACCTCTCTGCCATTTGTGTTGCTACTGTAATGAAGGTATGTGTACAGTAAATCACTTTTTATTCGGGAGAACTTTATTTTCACGTAATTACGCTGTTTGTATTGTTGTAAATTTAAAGTTTGATGAAGTTTTGGGCCTAAGAAAGGGTTTCAATACAGCATATTCTTTTTTCTTAGAGAGAGATAGAGCTATATGTCTGGATTGAGCATTATCACTATATAGTATCTTGTTTATATATATAGGTGCTAAAGAATAACTACCTGATGATCGGTATAGATGGATCCATGGCAGAGAATGGATCTGATTGGTTCTGTTATCATGCCACATCACCATGTATATTTCCTGTGGGATTCTGTGAAATTAACGGCTTAGATCTTACTCCACCCAGAGGTTTGTAATCTGCTAGCTAAAATTGTGTAAAAGTATTTTGGGTCAAATAACATTAAAGTTATACCTGAATTCCACATCAGATATAAGTCTAAACTATTAAAAATATGTATTTTAGGTCATAAAGGTCCTTTCAGATGGTTTGACTACCTTAAACAGACAAAGTCTGTTGCAGCACCTGTGAAACTGTTTGATAAGGTAATTACATCTTTTAAAACAGTTTTTAAAGTTATAAATTGATTTTTTTCCAATATCAAAATTACATTGGTAAGGAAAATAAATTCAAAATTGTCCTCTTCAGGACATACCAAAGCATGGATTTAAGGCTGGAATGAAGATTGAAGCTGTAGATTTAATGGAGCCAAGGTATGTTTAGAACATTGTTAGTACATTAGATTCTACATATATACCGTATAATGGGTATTTTCTGCGGTTGGAAATTTTTGCGATTTAACCCCTAAAAGATAGTAAATTAATTTCTGCGTTTTCAATTTCTGCGGTTGCATTATACCGCAGAAAATATATATACTGGGTATGATCACCAAACTCTAAGAATTATCAGATAGCTGCCATGTTTACGTTTCATAAATTCATTGAGACATATTGATCAAAGGTGCATGAGAACTGGTATTAAGCTATTAAGCTTAATTAAACTACTATCTTTTAGTTAGTCTTTGTAACATTATGTCGAGTCCCAATTGAAATGAATTATTACAGTATCAGTCCACCCAAGCAACAATAAAAATCTTTATTCTACATTGTAACAAACGTTTTATGCGATCTATTAAATTTTTTAAATATATAAATAATTAATGCATCCAAGCCATATTCTAAAAATACACTTAAAGTTAAGTGCCATCAAAATTGACCTAGTGTTTATATTTTTAGCTCAAACAAACATTTGCATAATCAAGTAATCTAAAGTTGACCGTATACAATCACAGGTGCCATGTGCAATGAGGCGTAACTAATCCTGTCAGTCGTCTGCATTGAGTGACAATCAAGCCACATTGTGTATACAAGGAGTAATTATGGTCTCAAGATAAAACACAAGATTGAAAAAAGTGTGAAAAAAAGAAAGAAAAGCTAATATGTGTTGCTTGTAGCTATCGGAGTTTGGACGAATAATTGCGAAATCTCTTTTAGTCATTTACATTTAGGCCTACATGCATATCCGTATAAAATAAAGAAATAGGTACAAGAAAAGATGTTTTTGTATAAACTTATTAAATTGATATTATTTACAAGTACGTTTTGATTCAATTTATTTTGGACAAATCCTGACATCTAAAATCTTCGAATTTCGATGACACCCGAATATTCTCGCTAACGAGGACGTGTCCACTAGTGAGTCTGCGGACGCATAGTTTTTAAGAACCTTGCGTCCCAAATAATTTTGCTACGTCTAGTACGCAGATTCTTGCGTTAATGAGAATCCTGTGACATAAGTACAACTTATCATACTTGCATGTATAAAATATATATCTGAAGAAATATTGAAAAATATTTTGCGATTGTAATTTTTGCGGATTTATCCTATCCGCAAAATTCCGCAAAAATTGGACATCCGCAGAAAATACCCGTTATACGGTATCAACCTACCAAGTTCATGTGCCCTATAATAATCACCATTCCCATCTATTCATTAGTAGGACTGTGTATTGTGAGAGGAAAAAGTATCATGATGTATTACAATATTTCAGAAAAATATTGCAGTATATCATGATATATTAGGTTTTTTTAATTTGCTAGTTTCTCCACAATTCTTTATTGATTTTAAGGAAGAAAAAAAATAGATTTCACTTTCTTTTTTCCAAAAATCTTATTCTAATATAGTCTATTGCCATTTCACTTCTCTTTTTAAATGCTAGAAAAAGAAATTTGACTTTTCTTTTGGATATTTTATAATTTCTGCCATTTTGTTTATGCAGACATTAATTTTGAGATAAGAATGTGCCCATTATACACTTCCAGAAAGTATTAAAAAAAATTGATACTTCACTTTGTATCAGTGTATCATATCAACCCCCTCTACTTTACAATATATTGATGTATCAGTGTATTGTTACACCTTTATCCATTAGTCTGTACATGTAAATTCATCAACATTTTAGACAAATGATTGCTCAGTCCACTACAAGGTCAGGATTACTGATATAAGTGTTGTGTATAGTTCCTATGACATTTTTCTAGGTGTACAAGCATTTGTTAATAAATTCTTATAATAAGCCCATTTTGTTTTAGACTTATCTGTGTGGGAACGGTGTCACGAGTGGTTGGACGCTTGCTGAGGGTCCACTTCGATGGTTGGGAAAATGAGTATGACCAGTGGGTAGACTGTGAATCACCCGATATGTACCCAGTGGGCTGGTGTGAGGTTATGGACTACAGTTTGGAGGGACCAAGGGTCAAAGGTCAGGGGACATTTTTCTAATGAAAAAAAAATGATACCAAATGTAATCTACATGTAGGTTCACAAATTCATGTTAAAAAAATGCTATAGTAACATACAACAAAAAATCTTATCTGGATATAATTATTTTCAGTGGAACAAATACCCCAAGTAATGTCTACACACAAAATGTCGAAGGAACAGAAAAAACGCAAAGGCAAAACCCAAATCTACAAAGGCCCAAGAAAGAGTAAGAAAACCGGTTAGCTATACATGTAGAAGTGGATTGATTCTACATTTCATATTTTGTATTTCTGTAGTTTCTTATGAAGCATGTGTCAAGGTTCCTAACCTAGCTTATAGCATTAATCTTTGAAGCACTAGTGGCAATGAAGTTTATCTACTCACATGTTTGATTAGAATAGTACTATTATATGTCTTATTAATTCATGTACATGTTTATACATCTGTTAATCCTTTGCATGAAAATGCAACATTTAAAAACTATCAAACAGATAAGATTATAAACTGTGTCTTCTAAGTAGCCATTGAAAGTTTTCATTTCATACATGTATAAACATCTGTCCAGAGATACTGTACAATTAATATGATTAAAATTGCAATCTAAAAAACAAACTGAAAATGTTATAGTTAGGTATATTGAAACAATTATGTTAGTGTACTGATATAAATCTATGTAATTTGAAATTTTGACAGAGAGGAAGACAAAGTTTGGATCCCCGTTATCTGATCAGAATCAGAGGTCTCTGCAGGAGAACAATAGAGACCAGGGATTTCTCTCCTACGGCAGCCGCACACGCCCCGCCCACCACAGTATCCCCCACCTAGTCGACCCTGTCGTGTCTTCAGGCACTAAAGGTCAACTTCAGCAAAAATAATGCCTATCTTAACATTTTGAGAATTTTTTAAAAATATTGAAATAATATTTATACCTCCACAAAAGAAGTTGGAGATATACTGGAATGACCATGTCCATCTGTCTGTAGACATATTCTGTCCAGAGATGATCTCTGAAACTACTGAATATTTTTTTTTTTCTCAAACTTTGTAGAATTAATATATATATCATCTGAACTAAGGTACCTATTATTTCCAGGTTGATTTGTAACAATTATAAAGATTCAATTTTTTTTCAAATCATAGCCCCAGGGAGTAAGGTGGGGCCACAATAGGGGATCAAAGTTTTACATGGGGAAACATTTTAAAATTATCTTCTGTAAAACAAGAAGGCCATGTTTAGTTAAAGTAAGATGCAGTCATCCTTAGGTAGTGCAGATACAAGTTTGTTCAAATCATGTCCCCAAGGGGTATTGTAGGGCCACAATGGGGGATCAAAATTTTACATGGGAATATATAGGAATATGTTTAAAAATCTTCCTCTCAGGAATGGCAGGGCAATGATTAGTTATCATTAAATCCAACCATCTGCAGGTAGTGCAGATTCAAGTTGTTCAAATCATTGCCCCATGGGGTTGGTTGTGGTCCATGGGCCTCTTGTTTAAGATTTCATTGTACATAACTTCTGTGCAGTCAGAGGAGTGAATTTCTTGCCAGGGCATAACTTCGTAATGGAGAAACTCCAGAGCATAATACCTTAAACAAAGGTCGCTCATGTCCAGAAATGTGCCTTGACTCGGTCCAGGGATTATTCTGGACAAGGTCAAGGTTATAAGGTACGAAAGTATTAAATTACTGAGATAGCCAAAACTTTGAAATAGAAAATAAGTAGAAGCCTAATCTTAAAGCAAAGGTTGCTTGTGACTCAAAGGTATGCCGACACCCTAACCCAGGGTATTAGGACAAGGTCTAGGTCAAGTGTTTTAAAAAATGAAAAATTCTTGCCATAGCCATAACTTTGGTGTAGATAAAAACTTAAGAAGATTATACTAGACACAAAGGATGCTTGTGACTTGACGTGTAACAAACCTGCACCGAGGTCAATCAGACAGGTAAAGGTCACTGGGTGTTTATCAAAATATTCATGTCCACAACATGACTATAATTAAATAACTTCCAAAGATCATATTGCCCAAAGGATTTATTATGGACAAAGGAAATGACATGACCCAGACCAAAGTCTTTAAGACAAGGTCACAGAGATCAGAGAGGTATCTTGGAAATGTAAATTATGTAAGACAAAACTTTTTTATCGCAGGTGTATCTGTAGGTGATACTTGGCATACAAATGATTGTGACCAAGAGGTATGTCAAGATTCTATCCCTTATAGGTGTGTATAAATGTTCCTCAGGCCTTTACATTTTGGAGGCTTGGACTGTGGATGAATTTTTGCACTCAACACAATCATTAATCTTGGCCATTAACATTCTTCATTCAGTTATTACATTTGCGCAAGATTCATGCTATGGGAATTTACAGTATAATTTTTTTTAACAAGATGGCAAAGTTCTTTTTTAAGCTATTTTAAAGTGAGCTTTTTTCCTAATTGTCCTGCAGGGGTATTAGTCCTATTAAGACAGTTCTTGTTTACAAAATAGTTTGTTCTGTCAAATTTTCCAGTTGAATACATTTTCCTTATTTTATCTTATTTTTTCTGTTATAGGACCCTCAGAGATGGAAACCTCTGACACAAGTACAAATGATGGACCACCACAATTAAGTCCTCATTCCATCACAGAAAACCAGTCAAAACCCTTATCACAAACTGCAGTTCATTCAGATAACCAGTCAAAACCATTGTCTCAACCATTTGTAAAACAGGAACCAATGGATACATCAGATAATCAATCCAATACCAGCATTTCAATGTCACCAAATGGGAAAACAGCCCTGTCTAATCTCCTATTGTCCAAAACTACCAATCATGTCAAAACGGTCACTCCCTCAACTTCCCAGGGTAATGAACAAATGTCATTACTTGCTGCACGTCAGTCAACCGTGTCGCCTGACCAGTGGTCCGTATCAGATGTCTGTTATTTCCTCAAGTCACATGACTGTGCTTTCTACTGTGAAAGCTTTGTTAAAATGGTAATTATAACACATGTTAATGCTTGTACATTTAACAAGTTATGTAAGTTCTGGGATTTTTAATATTTGATTTTATACAGATTATTTCTCTATCTTACATATCTTGTTTATAGGGGATAGATGGGCAGAAGTTGTTATCCCTTACCAAGGAGCAGATTGCCAGCATCACAGGAATGAAAGTAGGTGCTTCCCTGAAGATCTCAGAACTTGTTCAGCAGCTCAAATCCAGATGCAGCAAAGTGTGAAGTTGGAGGAACTCAGCAACTCCTTTGCATCAAAGTGTGTCCAGTGCAAGGCAGCTTAATCATACAGATTCCACAGATATCTGATTCATACTGCTTTAATCTAACCAGCTGACGAAACTAGTGCAATTCACTGTCAAATTGCCACTATTGCTACTCAATACAATGAATACTAGTTGTAATACAATGTATTGTGATAGTGGACTGCATATGTTGATTATTGATGCATATTTTCTTTCCTTTACAGACATTTGAAAATCGTTGTTTTAAGAATATTGACACTGTTTATGTAATCAGAGTTTCTCAAATTGCATTTTCATGTTGTGTATAATTGTTATTGTAAATGAAAAGATCCTATATTTTAGTATGCCTTTTGGTAAGTGTTATTTTGATGTAAAGATTAAGGTATAAAATTGATCTGAGACATGGGCATTGATTTTAGAACGGGGTACAGATAATATACATTGTACATTAATTCCCTGTATACTGAGCATTATTGTAGCATGGTGTCAATAAGCACTGCCATAAAATAAATTTATCAATGAATTGTTTTGGCACTTTGCAATAAAAACACAATGTAATAGTTTGCAAAAACACAGTGTAACAAGGAATGATTGGGTATAAATAATATTTTTTAATTCAACTGTAATTTTGCCAAATAATGTTACTAAGAGATAAATTTAAATAAGTGATTAAGAATGTATTAAAAGTAAGGCTGCTGTCTGTAAAGTTACAGTAAGTATTAGATAAGGTGTTATCTTGTACAGAACCAGTTACAATATCTATACACATTTGAATATTAAGTTAGATTTTATTTACTTGTTTATTTCATTTATTAAAAACTCAAGTGTTGAGGAATTTGTGTTATTGTGTTGTAATTAGCGCTGTAAGGTAAGAAGAATTTGGTCAAAGTTTTGTAACTAATTAATCACTGAATTAGTCAACAGAATAACCTTTAACTATTTAAAAACTGAATATTTAGACATTGATCAAATATCAAGATACAATCATATATGAACATATATCATTATACTTCATTTCCATAATTCAGTAGGAATCTGCAAAAAACAATTTTCTTATGAAATTGATCTTAAAATGAGATTTGTAATGAAAATGACTAAAAAAAAAAACAAAAAACAAGATGCCCAAGGGCCTTAACAGTCACCTGAGTATAATGTAACACTGTATAGGATCCATAGATTGAAGTGTAAAATGAAGTAAGCTGATAAATGAAGCTGTTTTGCCCAAAGGCAAGAGAAATAGGATGATCAGGGATCAACAAAATTATTTATTAAGCTTGATCTATTTACTTGCCTGTTCTTGCCCCATTTGTCACTTTACCAATGCGGACTAAACAAAATGATAGTTCTTGACCACTATTTGTAAACCCATCTCATTCCCTCTCACATTGGCCTCTCTTGGTATTTGAAGAACATTTAATGTACAAAAATAAGGTATTTTTGTCCTATTTTTAATTTTTTATTCTTTACAAGTCTACCTGACCATTAAAAACTATGAAAGTACTTTTTGTAGTAAATATTATGAAATTTCTTGTATAATTCTGTTATCCATTTGACATTTCATTTACATTATTTACACTAATTAATTATCATAGGCGAATAGCAAAGGGGAATGACCTTTTTTCAATAGTATACAAATTAATAAGTTGGCTAAGTGGTGCAGAATTTCAAAAATCTCAACATTAAAAAAATACCCTTGGTTATAGATGCCCAGGAGCAGAGAAGATTTCCAAAGAAATGTATTCTCATTATATACAGTGTATTCAATAGCCCCCCCCCCCCCCTGAACCCCTAACCCTGGGGTTACTAATCCTTTCACAATTTTGGAAGAGGCATCCTTGCTCATCATAACTACTGTTATGCATTTGGTCTGTTTACTCAGTACCAAGGAGCAGAGAAGATTCGCAAAGAAATGATGCACTTTCTCTATATAATTGATAAAGCCCCCCCCCCCCCCTTCTCACAGAACACCTGAGACCATAAATTATACAATTTTGGGAGAGGCACTTTTGTTCATCATAACTATACACTTAGTTTATCTGCTCAATACCTAGGAGCAGAGAAGAAGATTTTCAGAGAATTGATACATGTTCACTATATAATCTATAGAGCCCCACCCTAACACCAGAACCCCTGTCCCAGCCATGAAAATCACAACTTTGGGAGAGGCACCCTTGCTCATCATAACGATGCATTTGGTTTGTTTGTTTGCTTAATACTCCAGAGCAGAGAAGATTTTCAAAGAAATTATGCACTAAACACAAATTTCAGTTTTGGAAGAGGCACTCTTGATCACCATAACCATGCAATTAGTGTAACTACAAATACCAAGGAGCAGAGAAAAAGGTTTTCAAAGAATTAATGCATTTTCGTGATATAATCAAGAGAGCTGTGCCCTGACACTAGTACCCTTTACCTAGGGTCATGAAATTCACAATTTTGGAAGAGGCACCCTTGATCATCACAGCTATGCACAAGGTTTCTTTGCTTTGTATCCAGGAGCAGAAAAGAAGATTTTTGAAGAATTCATCCACTTTCACTATATGACCTTTACAGCCCCACCTCCTGAGCCCCTAACCCCGGCCCGGGCCCATGTTATATGAATTTCAAAATGTTGGTAGAGGGCTATATGAATTTCAAAATGTTGGTAGAGGGCTCAATGCTTATTACAATCTTGCCAACAATTTGACTGCTTGGTGTCCAGGAGTAAAGAAGAATGTTTTTAAAGATAGCATTAATTTTGATGGTTTTAGCCCCACCCCTATGGCTCCAGGGGGGCAGGGACCTTGAAATTCATGATTTTTGTAACCCTTTACCCGTTGATGCTTTATTTTAAAATTGGTTGAAATTGGTTCAGTGGTACAAGAGAAGAAGATTAAAATGTTCAAAAGTTTACGACGCACGATGACGGACACACAAGATGGCAATAGGTCACCTGAGTGACTCAGGTGACCTAAAAAAAAGATTTCTGACAACTCTATTATACTGAAAGAGCAATTTTTATCTATTATTTTTTATGGACTAGCAAATATTTGAGCTGGTCCTCCGGTAGGATTGAATACTCAGCTATAGTCACTTGGAAAATGAAGTAAAATGGTAATATTTGCCAATGATCTTTGAGCAGAGTTGTGGAAAAAATGGAAAAAGAAATCAATTTTATCCCTTTTCTAAGTTTTTATACACGTATCTTCATAGTAACGCATAAATAAGAATGTTTATTTTTAGCTCTACTGGTCAGAGACCAGAACAGCTTATGCGATAGGTGTCCATCGTCCATCCGTCTGTCTGTAAACAATTTTTCAAACGCTACTCCTCCTACAGATTTGGTCTGATTTTAATATTACTTGGCACACAAGTAGACTACACTAAAATACATAATATAGTGCATCGGTTTTTAATTTTGATGAACGGTGTTGCCATGGTTACTAAAAATAGAAAATTCCTTTAAAATGCTACTCCTCCTACAGTTTTGGTCTGATTTTAATATAACTTGGCACACAAGTAGACTACACTAAGGTACATGATTTAGTGCATGTGTTTTTGACTTTGATGAACGGTGTTGCCATGGTTACTAAAAATAGAAAATTCTGTGAAATACTTCCAAAAGGCTACTCCTCCACCAGTTTTAATCTGATTGTAATATATCTTGCCACAAAAAGACTAAATCAAGGATCATTATTCTATTTATTGCTGTTGCATAGTTTTAAGTGCAAGTGCTAATTTTCTTTTCCTTCGATATAAATACAAACCAGTAGAGCTACTGTCTCATCAGAGACTTCTGGTTAGATAATTGAATTTTTATGATGTACAACAATTAAAAACAATCCCCTCATGGGTTTAACTACTATGTTATCCTGTTTATTTAAGTTTATATGTAATAAAGACACATTTTGATGGTTAATAATATTTGGACATTATTTCCATTTCTACCTGTGCTCACTTGATTTATGGTTTTCATGACTCAGATGACAGTAATGAAGGAGGAAAAATCTAAGAAGATCTAATGAAGGGAAAAATAATTTTGGTGTGATTTAATTACCTATAGGAATTACTTTGAAAAAAAGAAAACTTGAATCCTTCAACCAAGAATACTTTCCTCGATGGAACCCACGGGTATCTTCTCCCATTACACTACACTCAACCTGGGTCTGTAGTGTACACGTAGATAAAAAAAAAATTGTGGGTTCCGAAGATGAAATGCTTTGTGCCGTGTTCAAAACTGACCCAGTGGTTCTGAATATGATAATGAAAAAGTTAATAATGATGAGACAACACCAACAACAAACAAATGATCACAAAAGCTCACCAGATTCTTGGTTCAGGTGAGCTAAAAGGAATCCCTGTCCGAAAGCGATAAATCAAAACGGCAATAGTTAGGTTGCTTTGTATTAAGATTTTTTTTTAATATTTGGAACTTTTAGGAACTTTTTTTCTTGCCTTATTTAATGATCCAAAGTATATATATTAACTATTATAGGTTCTGACGACACGTACGTTCCTCAAATATCTATATTGTATTTCCTTGCAGTTATATATCAAAAAACATTCATAATTGTCATTCTCTTGTGAATTCTAAACTATTTTCAAAATGTTTTGAAAAATAATTACATCAAAAACTGTGATATTGGCCATTCAAGTAATTTCAAAAAGGATTACATAGGAAACATCATCCTCTGGTATCTTGCAAAGATGCCTGGTAACGTATCTTAATTTCTTTTAGGAAACTTATTAAAGTAGAAATACTTCAATGACAAATTCTCGGGGAAAATTATATATTACTGAGGAACGTGACGTCTGACCTTAAGGGTTATGTAGGCACATGATAAATTTCGTTCTATCCAGTCATCTGGTTCAGAGCTTGTGAGACTCGTACATGTATACAGTGTATCCACGTAATTCCAATTTTGGTAGGCTTAGTATTTTCAGCACCAACTTAGTCCCCACACTGAAACATAAATGCTGGTCCCAGTGGGCATTACTTTTAGTAGAGGATTCAGTACTCACGTAAACTTGCAAACAATTCGTCAGCTCCAGGTTCAAGAATTTTAAAGACGAGGTCTGACCAACTAAGCCTTCCCTGGGGCCAGGAATTTCACAGTTTTTGTACATAGCTAATTATAATTAAGGTAGTCCGATCCTCAGGTTCCGCAAATCAGCTTTTCAGTAATTGAAAATTCTCACAAAAATGTCTTGGATGTGACAGAATAACGTGTATTTACCCATGGTATTTCTTCAAAGTTCATCACTAAAGTTAATCATATTATACTGGGAAAATTATCATATCTCGAGTATATTTTCAGTAAATGCGAATTAAAGCACCAGCTATGGATTTTCTACTTGAAAACTGATCAACATATGTATTTTTGGATTCAAAATTATAGGTATCCAGGCATTTGGAGAAAATTGCACGTTTTGCACACTTATACAGTAATTTAGTTCTTCTATTTACTTCCATTGTTATAAAATACATAGTGTAAAAGGTTTTTGTTAGCATTGCAAGACATCCCAGATCACTTCTAATTTCATATCATGTTAATATGCACCGGGATCCAATGCTACATTGAAGGAAATTTGATTTCTCTAAAAATGAATTCATTTTTTTTTCTTTTCTGGGGTACAAATGTCAACTTTTTATAACATCATTTCTAAGACTTCAAAGAAGCTTAAACCATATTAAGATGCATAAAATGAAAATTGTTGCAAGAAAATATTTCAATTTCAAGCTCCATTTTGAGATTTTTTTTAATTAAATAATAGATATAAGAGTTATAATTCCTACCCGAGGATCGGATATCCTTAAGTAAACAATTTGTGTAATAGATGACCATTAAGAAAAAAACCCAAAAATTTCCGTCGAGACTGCAGCTCTACTGGTTTTTACTTTTAAAGGAAAAGTAGCACTTGGACTTGAGACTTTGCAACTGTAGGAGGAGTTGCGTTTTGAAAGTATTTCACAGAAAATTCTATTTTTAGTAACTATGGCAACACCGTTCATCAAAAACCGATAAACAGAATCATGTATCTTAGTGTAGTCTACTTGTGTGCTAAGTTATACTGAAATCTGACCAAAACGGTAGAAAGAGTAGCGTTCTGAAAGTATTCACAGAAATTTCTATTTTTAGTAACCATGGTAACACCATTCATCAAAAACCAATGTAAAGAATTATGTATCTTAATGTAGTCTATTTGTGTGCCAAGTTATACTGAAATCAGACCAAAACTGTAGGAGTAGCAATTTGAAAAATTGTTTACAGACAGACACCTTTCTATCGCATAAGCTCTTATGGTCTCTGACTAGTAGAGCTAAAAAAGATCTGCAAAGGTGTTATACATTTCCAAAATATGACTACCGAGCCCATCCTCGGGCCTGAACTACAAACCCAAGGGGTAAGAATTCCACAATTTTGTTAGTCATCATTGTAATCATGCAAATGACATTGATGCCAATGGTTTACCTGCTATATATCCATGAATAAAGAGTTACAGATTTTCACAGGTGTTACGTATTGACCAACTTAGCCCCATTCCCCCTTTCACCTCCAGGCCTGAACCAAGGGAGCATGGATTTCATTATTTTGGTAGAGGGCAATTGTTCACATAAATAGTTAGCCTGTTTAATGAAGAGATTTTCAAAGCTGTGATGTTTTTTTAATATATATGTATGTAAATTAAGTCCCATTCTAGGGTCTGAACCATGTACGGCCCCATCTATGTTTTTAAAATGCTCGAGATTAAAATAATGTAAACAGTTGTAAGATTATCAGGAAACAATTCATTTTCAATATATGTATATGACTAATTTAACCCCACCTCAGTATCTGCACCAAGGGGCCAAAAATGTCAAAATTTTGGTTGAGGGGTCATCAATTATCATGCCAATACATGTACAGCTTAATTTTTGAAGATTGCATGACTTTGATGGGTTTGGCCACAACTCTTATTCCCAAGAGGCAGACCATACCCCCCTCCCCCCATTTTACTCATAGATGCTGCAATATATACCAAGATTGGTTGAAAATGGTTAGTCATTCTAAAGCTTGGAATGTTCCATGACTGACTCATGTGACATAAAAATCCTTGTGCCCTCCAAGTGCATTCACTAATACTTTGTACAGTGTACATACACTTTAGTCAAGAGACCTCAACTTCAATTTCACTTACACATTTGGAGGGACTGTAATCATACTAAATTCAGCAACTAATTATTAAAAAATCTGTACCCATTTCAGGTAAATCACTTAAAATGAGAGAATTTATTCCCAATGTTTATCAAAACTCTTGCTAGTATATTAAATGAAAACCTTCAAAAACTTGTATACTTTTACTGACAAATGTGAGAAATGAATTACACTGTTTTTACAACATATTGCAAACAATCATGTTAATGAATTAAAATAACAACCATCACATCAACCATTCTCTGATTCTGTCCCAGTTCCTGGCCCCTGTAATGTTCAGAGATATTCTTCTAACATTCTAAAAATTCATAGTCAGACAGGACTTGGAAAATTTTCATTATCTTTTATAAAGTACAAGAGTTAAAACATGGACACCAGATACATACTATAGGAAAACAAACATTAAAACATTAAAATCACTCACTGGGAATATTGGGATAGAAGATCTTTGTTGAAACAGAATTAAGATACAAAATCTTGATTAATTAGACTAGATGGGCAATTCAACTTGATTCAGAGTTTGGTAGTAGATGGGGGTTTAATATTCAGGCAAATGTCCTAGATAATGAGGTAAACATAAAATTCACAGCAGTGGACAGTCACTCAGAAGATTCCAAGGAGCCCATCAATTTTAGTATAATAATCAACTTTTCACAAGTATCTATAGTTTTTATCAGAATGTTTTTTTTTCAAAATGTCTATAAACTATATACAGAACATAAAAACAAATCAAGCTGGCGACACTGAGTGTGGACGTCCCATGATTGCTAGAGGTGCTTTCTTTGCAGTAGCCATCAGCCACACTGGTGCCAATGAAGAACATGATGAATTATTAACAAGATGAGATGATAGATGAAGATCAGGCACCATCATTTTGTCTCCACTTTGCTTTAATCACTCACACTACATTGTTTGTTTTGTGTTATTCTCACAATAACCCTCCCGTCTGTTGTTGGAATACATCTATACTGTCGCCATCTTCCATATCCAACTGAAAAAAAGAAGAAGACTTTGTTTATCATATTGCTTACAAAAGTAATTCTGTTTTATCATTTAGAAAGTCATGCAATGCATTGTATGTTTAGGTTTGGTTTCATAACCTCACCTTTATTTGATATGTTGACAAGTGAAAGTATGTCAGACAAAGAAAAAATTGGCACATCAGAACTAAAATAACTCATCGCCCTGTAGCCCACAGCAACCAATTTTTAAAAAGTGACCCTTCTGGTAGTGATGGGCCAATAGTCACTGACGATTGACAATCAGTCATTTGGAGCTCTTTGATGCTAATTGATTACTAAACAAATGTTGCAGCCATCGCTGACAGAAAATCAAATGAACAGTTAAAACCTGAATTTCATTACCAAATACCATGTGCAGAGTTTTAAAGAAGTGAATGTATAGTCAGGCTAATAACAGAAAATGGACAATATTATGGGATTATGAAGTTTTTGTAAAAGTCTGAATTTGAATCTAAATATGTTTAACTCTTTTATATTAATTTCACTTAAGAAGAAAAATTTGATTATAATCAATTATGTGTATCCAATAAATACAGATAATCGATTATGTTTATTGTCAGATTGCCCATAACTACCTACTGGATGCAACTTTGAGCAGTTTTGTTCATCTGAAACATATATACACAGTTGAACTTTGTTATCTCAATCACTGATATCTCGAATATCATCGATATCTCTAAGACAGCTGGAATTTCCATTTACTTTTTCTTTATGAATTTCAACTTAAGTACCTCAAATTGGGTTGAGATATATGGTAGTCCGACATCTGAGCTAGTTGTTTTAAGACTCAGGCTAGCTAATATAAATGATAGTCCATCGAACTAGCAGACAAGAAAAAAATTTCTCATCAGTTTACTTTTGTTATCTATGTAAATTGGTTTCTTTTGACTGAAAACTAGTTTGTTTCTTTCACCAGAGCATTTGAAATTAAGCGAACATATCTGCAATGATAAAGCATTTTAATCACAATGATCAAAGATGCATTGTTGGCTAGTTAGTTTGAGGCTTGGGCCAGTAATTTTTTACTGATCAGTAGTCCCTGGGCTAGTGAGTTTTCCAGGGAAATTTCAACCCCTGCGAATACACCATTATCTTGCTTTTTTCTTGGTCTCATCAAGTTCGAGATAACAATTTTTTGATGAGAGTTGAAACAAACCTACAACTATATTAAGTTATACATTGAAAAATAATTTAGTATGCCAATTTTTAGAGACAAATTGTAAATTTCATATCAGGTTCTAAAATGTACAATACAATCCAATATATGAAATATAGGTACTTACCCCTGAAGGTGTGTCTGTTTCATTTATGGGATTTCCATCAAACCTAAACCTCACAACACCAAGTTTTAACCCCTGTAATTGAATGATGAAACCTGACTTCAATTCTGTTAAGTTTATTCTTTTTAACGAACAGCAATTGAAAACAAGTAAAATAATATTGGGTTGTATGGTATATAGCAGTACTTTGTATCCAATATCCTTTCACCCTACCTTTGAATTGATTCTGATGTTGATAAAAATATGCATTCCAATAAATAGCCTTGTTGGCTCAGTACAATAACAAAATTATTATAATGAGCAACTCCCTTATGTAAATTATTTTTAGTTCATAGGCTCTAATACTGCAAATATTCAGGAGACTTCAATATAAAAAACTCACAGCTCTGTCACAGTATGCAGACATCAGTTTCCTCAAAGGTGTGTTTTTCTTGATCTTGAAATGCACTACACTGCCATCTTGTCCAGTAACTTTCAAGTTAATGTGTTCACTGCTTTCTGGCTTGATCTCGTCCTATAATATATAAATTTAAAATAGTGTTTAAACAGTAATTAAGACTTCGCTAACCCAGTCTATGCGAAAGTCACCGGACCGTCGGTTTTTACCGGTAAAAATTGGTTCGGGTCGGTAAAAAAATTCAGGATACAGGACCAAATGTCCGATGAAAAAATAAGGCCTAAAAATCTTAATTTACATGTTCATATGGTCTTATTTTCCACACATATCCTTTATTCGATCTATTTAGCAGTAATGCATGATTAATTTTAATCTATATCAACCCTGTCATGATCGTTTATTTCTAATTCGAATTTCCTCTGTCATGGAATATAGATATATGTATAGATAGCTCATATGTAGATTTGGTTGGGTAGATTATTTTCATTACTAAACAAGAGTAACTATTATGAGTTACTTCAGGAGATAAATAAATATATTTTAAAGTGCATTTTCTTAAGTTTTAGAAAAAAATCTTTGACACTATATATTTCGTTTGTATGTGTCAAATAACCAGAAAAAGAAAAATTGTATGCATTTGTCATATGTACTACCTTTAAACAAAAAAACAATAATAAGTTTGTTCATTTCAATAAAATCATTTTTTTTAATAATCTCAACTCTGGATCTATTTAAGGTTCAATTTAACAGTGAGAATACACCCCCCCCCCCCCTTCTTTTCAATCTCTGAATCATAATGATGTATGAATTAATTTAAAGAAAAAGGTCGGTCTGGTAAGTAAATGCTTGGTCTGGTAAAATATATATTTTTACCAGACCGTATGTCCTGTAAAAATTTTAGACTTTCGCATAGACTGCTAACCAACCAATTACCTTCATGATCTCAGTCCAGAAATCCTCAAGTTAATTATCTTGAAATCTGCTTAAATAGATATGTGGAAGTGTTAACTTATCAACCTTCAGCATTTTTTTAACTGAATTTAAAGGAAATTGTGTACAAATTTACACATAATTTAGATTTTTCCCAACTAAGGATTACACACACTTTCCTACCAATTACTATTGTTTAGTCTGAGTAACCTTAACAAATTGCCATCCCTACTGAAAACACACCTAGCACACCTAGGAATCGTATACTTTTTTTTGGGATCCATAATTTAATCAATACAGCTTTTATCGATGTGCATATAATTTACTTTGGTCAACTTACAGAACAAGAACTTGGTTTGTTGGTTTACTAATGTAACTGTTAAATTTAGTTTTTTTTTATGGCAATAATGCGTGTATTTGGGGATAAAGCTTACATACATTAACATTATAATTTATTTATTACATTTAACATCCCCATTAAAATCAAGGGGTTTTTTTTATGTTTGGATGGAAGATTACTGCAATAACATAATTTTTCTGGGACATATCAAATTACCTCTTTCAACACTGAGTAACTTTTATCAACCAATCCCTGGTACTCTGAGTAACTTTGGCCATCACTGAATATTTCACCTTCCATCACAAAAAATACAATAACTTCTTTATTTCTTTGAATATTTTGATAAATGACACATTATTAGAAAGGTGATGCATTCCCCTTTTAAATTATATCAAATTTATATATATTCAAAATCAGTTAGCAAGTCAAAAGCACTAATTAAAATCATAATTACATTTTATAACTGATTTTATGTAATATTTTGATAAATTTGCTGCTAAGAAGTTTCAAAATCACTTATGTTCTTAACATCGTTCAAAAGAGAAATTAATTCTGTGTAAAATGATATGCAATATGTCTGATTTTATTGAAAAACAAGTCCATAACAATAAATAAATAAAATGTGGTGTTTCAGGACATCGGGAAGAGTCTGGGGCGTCGAAAACGTCCTCTGTTCAGAGCCTTCAAAGTCTGATTCCAAGTTAAGTTTCTCTAACCAGATTTCACATCACTGTTAAAACCTCATATTTTTATTGTCTAGAAACATCTATAATGTCTAATTCCCCAATTTTATTAAAGTTTTCATCGTCAGAAAGATCAGACATTTTGTTTTAACCACCATTTTGCTTTCTTCTGCGTTTCCTTTAAGATTCATATAATTTTCCTTATTTTTTCGTGATTTTTGCCATGTGGCCCCCCATATTTGTTAACAGATGTTTATATCCATCTACCCATAAATCATAGAGAAAGATCTTGCGCAAAGAAATACTTTCTATTTCAAGGAATAAACGTTTACTTTCAGTTTTGTGTCTGAGACCAACGAATCGGTCTAATGTGTTGAAAGGGTTAAACTGTGACAAAACCTTCTCAAAAACCTTCAGTCCTGGAACACAAGTTGACAAACTCCTAGCGAGAGCCTTGTTTAAAAAGAGCTTTTTCTTGGTAAATTTGATTCCAGGTATCATAGAGTGAGAATAATCTGTGTATGGGGAAAACCCTCACCACAGTTTTTGTTCAATATAGGTTGCAATGTAGCAAAACAAAGTGGATGCGCTCCAGCACGATTTCGGAGAATACAAAAGTTGTTGCACTGAAAATAACTACAAAAATAATCAAATCATGTCAGATTGACATTTAGAACTCTTTGAATTATTCAAAATATATCATTATATTGGAATTATCTGCCCCTATTTATTTTGCTATTTTTCCAACATACTGAACAAATTCTATAGTTAAACTGGGTTCACATGTAACAGTATCATTTTAACCATAGAACATGCTGTGTTTTAACTGCACCTTTGGTTTGTTTGTATGTTGTTTAACGTCCCTCTTGAGAATTTTTCACTCATATGGAGAAGCCTGCACCTTTGGTAGTTTGAGGGATGTTTCTTTATAAAAACATTCAAGGTGCAGCATTTTTCCTTTATTTAAAAGTAAAGGGTTAGAGATCAATTTAATGGACTCTCCTTTGGGTTGAGGTTTATGAACAAATCTCTGTAGACCTAACAATTAAAATTTGAATATTTTATTTCAAATCCGCATTAAGCAGCATTTTTATCAATTGAAGTGGTCAATTTGGTTCGTAGCCGGTTTTTAGGAAAAACACTGAGGGTGCCATAACTTAATGACTTGAGTCTTTCCACGACGTTTTACATAGTGGTGTTCCAATCATCGATTATAATCGAAAATCAGTCGATTGCTGGCATTATCCAAGTGCTTGATTACAATTTTTTTATTCTGATTAATCGGGTTATTTATTTTATTTTACAAGCGTAATAGTTTTTAAGCCGCATATTCCAGCTGCGACTTGTCTATTAACTTGCTTGCATATCGTAATGGCGCAGACAAACAGACATTGTATTCATACCTGGGTAAAAACGCTCATTCTCCGGTATGGACATACTTTGGATTCTACAAAATGAACGAAGAACCAGCTGGACTAGATTGAACGTTCTATCTTTAAAATAATATTGTCCTTAGGATCAGAAGGACTAGGGCTTGTCCCGAGACACAGTTAGATTATTCCAACTACAGCTGGACCACCACAGAAAGTTATTCACCCATTCTTACCATTTAATAAATTAAATTGACAGACTTTGTAAATGTCCCATTATAATTGAAATTTAGTTAGTTACAGTAGCCCAATCATAGATTATGAAATTCTTACTGATTCCCATCACTAGTTTTATCCCTTTTATTCAAATGTATTATAACTAAGTCTTAATCACTTTTTTCCCCCTAAATTTCACTGAAAATGCCATTTAGAAAATAATTATGCTCATCATTTTGTCTAGAACATCAATTTGAACATTCTGGGGTGCATAACTAAAACAAAATCATTGAAATTGAGCAATTGTTGATCTGACAAAAAGTTTGTTTGTTTTTCTTTTTAAATAAAAACTGGTTCTCAATGAGATTAACATTGTAAAAAAATTAAATTACAACTCATTTATGGCCATTTTCTGTAGAATAAAATGTCAATGTTCTAGGATTAAAATATAGTAGCTTTCATTATATTGGTAACGGTATACACCAAGAAACTTTTACTCCAATCCAGTGAAACCTTACTTCACCTGTACGTTAGCGTAAAAGTACCCCCCCCCCCTCCATCTCCTAATGAATTCAACTCGTTTACTGAAAAGGGAACTTTACACTTTTCGTTTCACATTTTTTCCTCCAAATAAATATAACAAATTTGATAAGCTTTTCGTTTAGGACAGTTTAAGGACAAAACGCGTGGCTTCGGATCACATGGAAAATGAAAACAGCATTGTTCAAATCACAACGCGGGAAGGAGTGTCGTGTGATGACTTTTAGGAATTTATAAGAACTTATATACAAACGTAAATTTCTCACAAAAGTACCTTTTTCTCCTCCGACATTTTCTCAAGTTTCTTTTAGAAAACAAACAAGAGCTATGGGACTTTCTAACTGCTTGCCTGTCCGTCGGCTTGGCTGAGAAATTAAAATGGCGCACAAAGGAAATACCCAACTAAAATATCGCTCTGTAAAACGGATTTTCATTGGATGACAATTTTTGACCTTCAAATGACCTTGAAAAAAAGAAATGATAATCAAGCGACTTTTTGTCCATGCCTATGCTCTTGAATTGCTTAAACCATTGATAAAACAGACTTTGCATCTGTTTGTTGAACGCATATTGATAATTTGCATCTTTTTAATACAGGGTGATATGGAATTTAAAAGAACTGAATATTTACATACATTTTTCACTAAACTTGGAAAGGTGGTGACGTCTAAATTTATCATCCAATGAAAACCTCCATATGTCTTGGAGTTGAGCGACAGTATTTATAAGAAGTTGCATTTCCCTCTGTCAAAGTTTTATCGTGTAATAGGACTTCCCTTTGGTCTCCTAATATATGTAATGGATGACTTATTACGGGAAATAGCCTCAGTCTAATGTTGCAACAAAAATAAATAAAAATTTTAAAATAAAAAAAAAAACTGTTAAAATAGTTTTCATTTTCTTTTACTAATATATTTATACATCCATTTCCCGAAATTTTCTACAAAATATGACTTTTTGATTTTTTTTCAACGATATCTAGAGCTATGAACCATATTATGATAGAGATTTAATATTGGCGGTCTTTATTCGTGATAATATACTTAGAAACTGTATAGCAAACTTTCACAAAAAGCCCTCAGCTACATAGATGATAAGGGGGAGGCTGATCCAAGTAAAATATTCTGATTTGTGTATATATGTAGACCTTGATTATGCAACATACACAGATGAATTAATATATATACATAAATAATTATTGTAGATGGAAGCAGACAATTAACTTTCAAAATAATATGTAAAATCTACACAAAAAGTTTGTAGTGATGACACAATGTTTCAAGTTCTGATGTTCTTTTTCCCCTGTCTTTTTTAAGATTCATCAACCCTCTGACAAGAGAGATAACTCTAACTTAGAATAATACCTATTATTGCTTTAGAAAATTGTCAAGTTAAGACGCGATTTCTGTCGACTTCTGATCATATATAAAACAAATACACATAACTATATATACATAACTATACAGTGCATCGCACTGTATGCTGAATTGTTTTGCATAACAATTATAATGTAGATATATCTTTTTGAAAATCAGCATGAGTGAGTAAAGGGACGATGAATCCAGTGTAATTGTTTCTGGTAACTAATTATATATACATGCAGTGTATTTTCAACGCCTATGGATTGTGACTATATAAATTGTATTCTCTATTTTGATAAAGAAAATTTTTCCATCGCAAAATGGAGTAAGACATTTAAAGTGTTGTATGTATAAATCGGTCGTCTCTGATTAAAGTGTAGCTCTACTGCTTGAGTTTTACATGACTTGATGTTTCCTTCACTTAATTGTAAACAGTGTTCCTCAAATCATTTCAGAACTGCAGCAGTTCCTTTTTTAAAGAAGTTTTACATATATATGAAAATATGCAAAGGTATCAAAAGTATATACTGAAGCAAATACCCCCCCCTCCCCTTAGAAAACGTGTACCCACCATCACCACCACAATAGGTGTTTTACGTTTGGGAAATGGATTTAACGGGGTTTGTTGTTTTATTTTTTTTCATTTTTTTTTTATTGTCAAGAAATTTTTGGGTTTGAAATTTTTTTTGACTGGGGTGGACCCCACCCCCTGGAAAAAAAATCCTGGATCCGCGCCTGTATTCGTCCCTTATTCAGAACCTGGGGATCGGACTACCATAAGTATAATTTTAAACAGCATGCATGTGAAGTGTAAGTTATAATCCCTGTGAAGAGATTATGATTTTCTTTTAGTATGAGAAGATAAAATATACCCATACGGCCATCTTCGCTAGCCAAGGGTTTCTGATACGCTACTCTCCTCATTTTAACATGTTTAAACAAGGACCTATATATACTAGTTATGGGTCCCTGGTTTAAATAACAAATTAACATAACCAGGGACCTATACACTATACTATATACTTAGTATATAGGTCCCTGACATAACTCAATACCTTCTTGTTAATAATTCTTTAAAAACATTATTTTTTTAAATTACGCACAGATTGCGTCATCGACAGAAATAAAAAGCGTACCTGGTAAGAATCGTGATCTCGTGACGAAAACAATCCCGTCTTTTGTCAGCACCGTATGCCAAGGGTTTATGAGGAGAGTAGCGTATCAGAAACCTTTGACTAGCGAAGATGCCATAAGGCCAGAGGTTTTTCTTTTGGATTTTACGGTACCAAATTTAATTTTCCGGATTTTTCTCAGCCGAACGATGGGTTCTAAAATTGAATGGATTTAACTAAGTCAAATAAACGCTTACCTATAAATGAGACCTTTACAAACATTTAGATGACCGTAAATAAACACACGTGCAACTCAAAATGGCGGTAATGTGGTAAAACAACTTTACAAGGTAATTCCTCACTGAAAGCAATGACACACATTTAAAGAACTTTTTCTGCATGGAAAAGTGAATCAAATCTTGAATTATACCTTTACCACCATTTCTCCAATTACAACGTCTCAATTTGGCTAAATTCTTATCTGGAATATTGGAGAGTGCCCAAATGTTTAACTCCAACTCTCTAATGTAGACGGTGCGACTGTTAGGGCGAGCGCCGATGTTTATTACTGGATACCTATAGTCCAACCCACACTTTGCAAAAGTTGTGTCCCTTTGTGGCGTGCTCCGATTAATCCAATGTGTTTTTTTTTCTTTCGTAGCCCGATCCTGGGACAATCATTATACAAGATGCACAAATTTTTCCCAGTCAAATGATAAATTTACAAACCAGAAAGGCTTCTGTGAGGATTCTATGGGGTTTTCCTAAAAAATGGCGGCCAAGGGACATAAGTTTTGAAAAGTGTGGATTCAACTATTCAGTTTTAACTTAGATTGATTGATTTTATGTTGTTTTACGTCCCATTTGAGAATTTTTCACTCATATAGAGACATCACTATATACCGATGAAGGGCTTCAAATTTAGACCTTTACTTGGCACTCAGGGCCATTGTCAGCAGTGAGGGATCTTTATCCCTCAATGATATTGATTTATCCCTGAAATGATATTACCAACGCCTGCCATGACACGGGACCTCGGTTTTTAAGGTCTCATCCGAAGGACCTGCAACTTTCACTTCAAAGTGCCAAGTGCTTGGCGAAGGAACAGTTGCCACTTTTTTTTTATCGACTTAGGTCAGTTGCGGCTGAGATTCAAACTCACGACCTTCCGATTATGGAGCGAGCACTCCTCCGACTGAGCTACCATGACGTTCCATTTTAGCTTAGATAGAACCTTCTATCGTTAAAATGATATTGTCCTATGGACCTGGTTTAACAATAGTTTTAACTTAGACTGGCATGCCTCTTCAAAATGCACGAGACATTTCGAATGTCTAGACTGTGACATCACATGACGTCAGACGTTAGTTGCATTACCATAACAAAGTCTGAAAAATGCAAATTTTAACAAAGAACATTAAATCTCCTTTTTTTCTGCAATATGTCCATTAAATCAAGGTGAGTTTATTATTTGGTGAATTTTTGTTGTTACTACGAGAACTTAGTTAGCAGCGAGATGCATTTGCATTGCATTGTGGGTATCGAGATATCTGCAGGAAAAAATCCTTTGGATCAATATGCAAAGTCTGAATTTTCTCTTTGCCCAGGTAGCTCACAGTGATGAGCAAAGAAAAAATGCTATCAATTCCAATGATCGATAATTATTTTTCACAATTGATCATCTGAAACATACTTCTTATAAAATGCATTCTGGAATTATCCGTTCCTGGTTTAAAATTTATTTCTTCGTAATGAAAGAAAATCATATGGCATTTGCACCTTATACAACAATATTCAATCACCCAAGTAAACATTTGCATTGTATAAATATATTAATATAAGCAATATTTTATGTGTTAATTATCATTTATTAACAAATTATACAAGTGCATCTTTTTCTTGGTTTCTAATTTCTATACTTATAATTGGAACCTCCAGATTATTTTAATGCTAACAGTGCCTGGTTAATAGTTCATATGGATAGGGCTGTGTATTGAGCAAAATATTTCGATACGATACGATACGATATTTTTTAAAGCGATATGCGATATATTGGATTATTTATTAAGTCTTTCAAAAATGTCTTATTAATGACATTTAATGCATAAATTTGATAAAAACTGGGTGAGTCTAACATAACATGTTAAAATATAGTTGTCTATGTATTTTGTAATAGTTATTTAAGATGTGCTCTCTCCTTAATGTTTATTTCATTATTGACCAGTTTTAATTGAAAACAGTTCAAAATAATCTTTGGTAACTGAAATTCCCAACTTTTTTACAGAATTATAAGGAAAACTGCCTGTCCGATACGTATTGGAAGTTATTTTTTCGATACGATACATTCCAGAATATCGATACGTATTGAATATTCAATATATTGACACAGCCCTACATATGGACATTCATTACACCATTCACCCTACTTAATGTTTTATAAAGCCAACTAGCATGAAGCAGAGGTGATTAAGAAAAATATGCATATACAGAAAGTGTAAAAGAAGCAAAACAACAAAGAAAACAATATTTTATATATTCTTGTTAAAGAAATAATTTGAAATACTTGTAATAGTCTGCTTTTTATATACAAAACTGTGACATCAAATTATAATCAGTAAAATCGCATTGGAAGCAGTAACCAATTCCAACAGATGATTGATTATGAAAATTAACAAATGTCCCATCACTACAAAGTGCTTTAGAAAATGCAACTCTAAATGGGAAAAAAATCATTAGGGTATGCAAATAAAACATTTTTGAAAAACTACAATTCTTATGTTGGGCCCCTACATTCATGGCTAGGTCCAGCCCAGGTGGCTACTTACTGAAAAAATTAACTTGTATCCCTGTATAATATGCATACAAAGTTTTACAAAGAAACCTAAGACTAACTCAAGAACAAAGGCTATAATTTGTAAAAGAAGATAGGCATATTTGGAATCGTGTATGATTTATAATTAAATGTCCATGATTTGGTCGGCAGGCCACAGGTGTACAGATTTTACAAAGTTACGCACATAGGAAAATGTTACATTTACATTAAAATACCTAGGGTATACTCTACTGATTTTTTCCCTATATAACATTAGATCGTTATATGTGACTAATTCCCTAGAAATTGTTAAGAATGGACTAATCCCCGTGCGTTAGTCAAGTGAGCTAATCCCTGCTTTGAAAGCTAATTCCCGGTTATATGTAATCCTCTAAATTTTACTTTCACATTGGTATGATATGTGAATGGACTAATCCCCATGTGTTAGTTCAGTTAGCTAATCCCTGCTTTGAAATCATGCTATCGGAATCTTCTGAATTTTACATTTGTATTGGTATAATAAAACTAGGGATGTCAATTTTATTCGGACAGCTTAGTCAAATAGTCGGAGGCTTTAGTCGAACGATAGTCAAATATTCGTTGAAATTTAAATTAATTTTTCATGTCATTTTCACGTTTTGTCTTCTATAGACTAGTTTTACAATATCTAACCTACGCTTTCACCATTATACAAGGAATTTCTGAATCATAAACATTTACGTATTTCAATAAATACATCTACATGTTTCCAATGTATTTGATTTCAAATGTAATATTTCCTGCACAATTTATCTAAATACAGGACATTAAACACTCGCATTTGTCCTTTCTTTTCATAACGCTAGTACATGTACCCGTTAACTGAAGCCATTTCTATGTGTCGTGACAGACCTGTGACTGGTAAACAATTAAAGTGTGCCTTTTATAAAAACAGAGAGAGCTTGCCATAAATTTTAATTATGAGATTTTGTGCAAACATTCAATACAATCTTAAAATGACTGTATGACATTAATATCAGAAAGAAACACCATTTAATTATGCTCATAACTGTCCCCATGTATTTACAATTTTGTAACAGCCGTTTAATTATTCTTTATGAATAGTTGCATTACGTCAGATCTTATGGAATTGCAGGTTGAAACTTTATAATTTTAATCTACAAAACCAAACAATTCTAAATGCCCTCTCCATTTACACAAATCAGAGGTAGACAATCCTTGATAATCATGTTTGTGTTAGCAACATTTTTCTTTCCGGCTTTGCTTTTTTTTTCATTTTTGCGGAGAACTTACTAAGAAAGTTTATATGTTATATGTATATATGTTTGACGGATTCGGCATGTTCCACTACAGAATACAAGTTCAGTTTCACATAACATATTTTCCCAATATTGTGTTTTGATTTGCTAAACAATAAGATAAAATATGGCTAAATGATTCATTTTGTACAAAATGTTATATTTTTAAACACATTTTTCTAAAAATTTACTATCTCTGGGTAGTCTCTCTGCAATTAAGATAACATACTTTTAACTGGGTTTTTTTCCATCCTGATATCTTTTAAAGTATGCCAAAACTGTAGATTTTGGAGGCATGTTTGAACATAAGTCGACATACAAATAATTTCATTTGAACAGTTAAACCTTACCCTGCTTTTTACTTACGAGACTATTGATCTGTAGATAAATGAAATGGGCGGATTCAAGTTTATTACCTTGAATTTAAAATTACTATTAGGTAACACATTTTTAACGAATAACCGACTAAAGAAATTTTAGTCGATAGTCGGTATGATTGAACAATAGTCGAGTACTCGAATATTCGTTGACATCCCTAAATAAAACAGTTAAAAGTATATCATTGCGGGAGTTAGCAAGATTCCAGATCTCCTTGACCAGGACTATTTCCCTTGGCTTCACCTCAGGAAATAGTCCTCCTGGCCTTGGGGAACTGGAATCTTGCTAACTCCCTCAATGATATACTTTAACTGTATATTAATATATATTAAAGTTTCAGTACATTAGAAGAATTGCTTTCGACTCATTGCAACTGAACCAAAATTTATCAATTTTAAAATTTTAATAAATCAGTAGATAAATTAAACTGACAATTGACATGATTGTTTGTATTTAAACCAAAAAAAAAATGCTCCATATGGTGATCAAACCAAAAAATTTTTGATTCCTGGTGTGCTGGATTGGTAACTTTCCCTACACAAACAACATGGATTTTAAACTGATAATGAAGCACTGCATTAACACAGTTGGATTTTTTGGGTGGAAAGTTCATTTTTTATTGTCTCTGCATTTTCTCTCCATTTTTTTTTTTTTACAAATGTTTGCTCATTATTTTGAATTAAAATGCACACAACTAACATTTTTAATTGCGGAGAGATGACCCAGAGATAGTAAATTTTTAGAAAAATGTGTTTAAAAATATAACATTTTGCACAAAACGAATCATTTAGCCATATTTTATCTTATTGTTTAGCAAATCAAAACACAATATTTGGGAAATATTTCCCTTTCTAATTTCACAGGAATCTGATTAATCAGAAGAATGCTAAAATTTCATGTGACAGATCTATGTAATCACTTTTCAGATGCATCCAGATTCCTGCCAAATGTCAATCAAATGTGCTCTCATTCTTTATAATATGCACACAAAGTTAACAAAGAAATCTAAGACTTATTGAAAAACAAGAAGGTTTGTAAATTGATATTAAGCACCAATATACAGTAAACTAAAATTTTGAAGCCATGGACTTTTAAGTTTACAGTCATAATAAAGTATATACATAGGTATATATTCATTTGTTAGGAAAAGAAATGTGACTTAGGTGAGCATTATAGCCCATGGGCCTCATTTCATTTTCCCAAGCATTGTGTGACATACAAAGAGATTTTGCAATCCAATTCCTTACGCTACATGTGTCCCATGTATCAGCTATAGACTGATCCTAATTTATAGGGGTAGGCAGACAACAGAAACCAAAAGGCTGTATGATGTACCACATTTTATGTAATACAAATTATTGATTTCTCTTTTTCAGAAGACTTCTTCACTGAAAATTAGAGTAATATTCATCACCTTTGTTCTCTCTAAAATGACATCCACACCAAACAAGAGGCCAAAATTAAACAGTGAGAGTCCTAGCCTAGAGAGTTCAAGACCTGACTCTCAAAGTAGAGAATCGACAGAGAGT